GTTTTAAATTAGGAAACAGAAATGCATGAGAGTTATCCATGAAGTACTTGACTTTAGCTTCTCTGAGCTTCAGTAAATGTGTAGATATTTCTCAGTGTGACTTTATCCTTTTTGATATGATGGAGTAAGATGTACAAAGTGACCACAGCAGTGCTGCTCTCCAGCTCACAGGAGGAAGAGTCTAAAGCTCAGCTCCCCTGCAGACGTGTTATCATAAAGTATTATATCCTCAGTCCAGCTGGGAGATGATGCTCAACACTACAACGCAGCAGATCTATTCAGCATCTGAAGGTTTTATGGTGGAGATTTCTTTTTTGTGGCTTATCCCTCCTTTAGCTCCGGCTGATTTATCCTCACAACATAAAAGTGACCATAAAAGTAAAGGTCGGCTAGCAGGAAAATAGAGCAGACAAACAACACGGCAGCGTCTCTGAGCTGAATCTGTCTGTGTGGGTCCTAAAACCTGACTCTGCTGTTGACCATCGTATATTTTACTGAGGCTCATATATTTGATAAACAGCAAACCAGCATATAGGCTTTAATATACACAGACGGTCCCGTTTATGTTCTTTTTAAAGGTGAGGTTTTATTTTCATGAGGATACAGATGAAAACAACAGTGCAGACAGAAACATGGCTGGCAGAGAGACAGCCTCCTGAACCAGTATTAATTTTGTTGATGAAAATTATGACGATAATTGTTAATCAACAACAATCTTTCTGTGGCAAAGACAAAACAATGAAAAGCCCAATTAAATAATCAATGTCAAAAACTCTGACAAATACAAGGTTTGTTTTCATTAATGAGAGGATGATGAGGCAAAGTTGTTTTTGGTGAAACACTGAAAATTTTAAATTCCTACATACTGATCTCGTTCAAGGATTCAAGGATTCAGGGAATCTCTATTGTCCCCGTGGGGCAAATCGCTTTACAGCCAGCAGTGCCACAAACAGACATAAGACAACTAGCACAACAATAAATAAATAAAAGAACGATAAAACAGAGAGACTAAAAACAATCACTTGTTTGAAAGACCTATGGTGGCAGGGATAAGAGAGTTCTTCAGTCTGTTTGTCCTACATCTAGGCAGGACGTACCTGTGGCCTGACGGGAGCAGCACAAACTCACCAGCCAAGGGGTGGGTCTGATCAGAGAGGAGTGAGCGAGCCTTGCTTAGTGTTCTAAGCTTAAAAGTGTCAGTGAGATCCTTGAGGTTAACGCCAGCAATTTTGCTGCACATTTTCACTATACCAGACAGTCTATTCTTGTTTTTTTAATGAGAGTAGGCCGTACCAGCAAATAAAAGAGAAAGTTAAAACAGACTCAATTAAACAGGAATAAAACATTTTCATTAAAGTGCTGTCAACATTAAAACACCGCAGTTTCCTGAAAAAAGTACAAACGTTGATGTGCCTTCTTGCAGACAGCATCAACATGGAAGTCGAAGGACAGCTTATCACCAATGTTTGTGCCAAGGTATTTGTAATTGTGGACTAATTCGACAACTTGGTCCTCAATGGCAAGAGGAGGGATAGCTGATGAATTTTTTTGGAAATCAATCAGCATTTCTTTGGTTTTGGTCACATTGATGGGCATAAAGGATGCAGAGCACCAGCATTCATCACCTGAAATAGTAGCAGCATGGCCCTGTAACAGTGCTACTTTTGTCAATTGTCTGCAACATGTGCCCCATGATCCTCTCTGCTTCTGTGTCATTTATAAACTTTTACAGTTTCCAGGGAGACATCACTTACATGTTTGATCTCTTTTCTATGTTCTCACATTAAACCGCTGTGTCCAAACCTTGTTCAATCTTGATAATATGATGAACTATAATTCACTGAAGATGAAGATGTAGCTGAGAGCACAGTGTCTCTGTCTTGCATGGGGTGTTTCTTGAGGGCTGAGCCTGGACCCCCCACCCTTACCCCATAAGGAGAAGAAGAATAAGTAAAAAAAAAAAAAAATACACCTAGCCATTGCAGCCACAGAAAGAACATTTGATTTGATTCCAACGTCAACCACTGCTGATAGTATTTCGTCTTCTACGATATGGAGCTTTCAAAATAGATTCATCTGCAGGTGGTCTGTGATCACAAAGGTTGCTTCCTGAATATAGTGCATGGTATGAATGAAACTCTGTATTGGATTTATAGGTTAAAACAAAAGGGACTACATTTACAAAAATACAAAATTAGATTTTCTACTCACACCCATGATAATGAAAGGTTGAGTGAAGTTGTATACTTTACAAAACACAGCTAGAGAACTGCAGAAAAAAAAGGTGTTGCAGAAAAAGGAAAAATAAAGAATCAAACATAAAGAAACGCACACAATAAAATGTTAAATGCTTCATGCTGCTTATCTAAACTAAGCCAAGAATCCTGAGGTCCCAACATGCCAAGTTACTTCTAAAATCTGGTGCCACCCAGCCATGTGGACTCAATAATGACTGAATTTTTAAACTTTGGATGAACTAGTCCTTTAAAATTTCTATTTCTCAATATGGAAATATTTGATTTTCAATGGTGAAATTGCAATTGAAATTATTTCGTATGATTGAGACCTTGAAGAAATGTATTTGTTGAATATTTTTAACAGACCATTTGAAATCTAACAAAATCTTAATGCATTATCTTTGCTCACAGGGTTTTCTCTACAGAGGATTTGGAGGGAAGGGCCAGAGGTAGAGGAGTGGGCTTTCCAGTGTGAGGCTGATGACTGGCCAAAAAGACAAAGTATGAGGGGACAATAAATGTTACGTTGTACATATACAGTGCATAGGTTATGCAAATAGAAACTGTTTACATGTGATGTCAATGTGTGCGTTCACTCAACACTCAAAAGACTTGACACATATAGTGGTCGAGGATAAGTGCCAATCAATGAATTTGCACTTATAAGCTCAGAGATGGCTGATGCTTAAATAGAAAAGACACACAGGAAGAATTGATTTTTGTTAGTGCATCTGCAGTATGAGTGTGGCCTTGCTGGGACTAATTGGAACAGCATTTCAAGCTATAAACCCAGACAGTGTGAGATCTGAAGGACCAGCCGTCAGTTTTAACTTGGTTGAACCCAGAGGATGTTGCAATAAAGTTTTATCATGTCAGTTATGGGACAAACATGGGGAGTCTTAGTTGTGAAAGAGGTGTTTGAGGAGTGTCAGTATCCCAGGTCCACTAAAGTGGAGACGTATATCTATTTAACTTTTCCAACCTGGAGAGGTTCCCTTACTAGTCCTACTTACCTTCTCTAATCGCTTTGTTCAATGAGCTCAGTATATTTCTGTGTCTCCACTTCTTAGGCTCCAGAGAGGCAGACAGACATCAGATGCCAAACAAGAGATATGCTGGGGCAGCCTTTGTCACCACCAAGTTTAACCGTCAGTGGACAAAGGCGTGGCCGTTCATCACAGCAGGTACTTCTTCATACTTAGGGTGTAGTACCTGACTTAACATATTCAACAAATCAACAAGAATTCACATTAAACCACTCAGGTTGATTGATACTATATCTAAAATGGATTCAGTGTGAAGCATTGACACGGCACAACTGGAGATGCAGGCGACCAAAACAGTGAGGTACAGTGATGTCATGGTTAAGTTCATGAAAACTTTGTGATCCAATAACACAGCTGATTGTTTGTTCGTCTTTGACTTGACTGTATCCTGTGTTATAAGTACATCACTCTAGCCAAGTGCCCTAGTGTAGGTCTACCTCTACAGACGTTTCAGTCTTTCAAACAGTGCACACCCTCCTGTGGTCAGGCAGCTTTAGGGTTATCAGACCTGAGCTTGTGTCCTGTGCCTACTCACCAATGAAACTCGCTTTAGGGGTGGGGCTTTATTAGCCTTTGAAGCTGTTTTGAGCCTAATAAATGCCATTACATTTAGACTGAGTCCACTGACTGCATCCTGTCAGTCTCTACTGAGGCTTCTTTGATGATCTGCTGCAACACCTGTCGATTAATTGCTTGGTTTATCAGCAACCTGATGGTAGATCAGGCCATGAACTGGGTATTTCTGTCTTTTCACTGCTTTGCCTCCGCTTCTACTTTCGTATAGTGCTGAAACTAAGAGTACCAGTTCTGGAGGTTTCATAACCATTTAAATTCACTAATCTGGACCTGAAAGTGGTGTACGACACTTTGCATACTGAGTTTGTGATCTATAAAAACAAAGTTGATGGGGAAATGTGCAGACAGATCACTCTGATCCATGCATATATAAACTAAAATCAGCATGTTTTTCTGGACACACATCTGCAGTGAGCTGTTCCCAATGTCGTTATAAAAAATGCTTTTCTTTAGTTATCCCAATATTTAATCAGCTCTGTCTCAGCTAGGGTGTTAAAGCCCAAAGTAACATCAAAAGGTGCAAAACAATTGTGAAGTAGATATTTTTATTAAAACCTCTGTGATACGGTGCAGTATAACACAGTGTGGTTTGATTTTGATAAAAATTACAGTGAGGTGCATGTAGACACAGCGACAACTACACACACACCGGCTTCTCACCACAGCGTCACCACAAGCTCGTGAAAACTGCATTACTGAGGAGAGATTGGAAGTTTAGCCACACATGTATTACATATCTCCATAATTGGTCAAATGGCAGGAATTGGAAATTTTGTAAAAAAGGATTTAAAACTTTGTCAGTAATGTTCTTACCAGAACAAAGTAAAATCATTTTCTCTAGAGAGTGATGTATTTTCAGCCTGTGGGATGAATGTAAACATGTAGGTTATAGGATGTGAGGCTGATGCAGTGTGCATAGATGTAGTGTTATAAATCTAAATGCATGAATGTCATTTTTAGGTTTGTACAGTTTTTTACAATTTCACACCAGAATACTAATTGCTGGTTGACATTCTCTACCACCTTTTGGTCATGGGTCATGTTAAAGTGTCTGGTTTCTAGTGCCTTGATGGGTTTTTTTGGTCTTTTTTGACCGTCAGGGTTAGACTTTGTATAACAGGATTAGCTTCTGCGGGGATGGGGAGTTGTATGCAGTCTCCCTGCTCTCAAGAGCTACTGCAAAGCTCACAGGCAGTGTTTGTTTCTGCCTTTTTTTATTGCTTAAACAGCAATCAGTCTCACATTGCCACGCAGGATCAGGCCCAGATTTTCGGGTATGCATTATTAAAGAATTTGTCTGCCTTTTCAAATTTTTGCTCATAAGGATCTCTTCTGTAATTTCCCCTCTGCATGTTCCCAATACACAGAGCAGTAGCCTGAAATTCAGAGGTTCTATCTTCAGTCCCTGTGAGAGCTGCCTGTTTTGCTAATCATCTGATTTCTCCAAATGAAACCCCATTGTCCACCAGGAGACCTGTGTTCATTATAAAAGATCTAATTAATCTTCATGATTAAAAGGAGCTGACCTGTAAAGACATGTTTTCTTCTTTGATTCTTATTAATTCACGAGGATTTCTGAGAGTCAGTTTAATTTACTCAATGGTTTTAATTAATTTACCAGTTAAAATGATGGACAGAGAGCTGCTCTTGTGCAGCTGGATCAGTTTGTCTGATTAAAAACTCATGTTTAATCAGATACAGCTCTAAGTGGACTCATCTGCGTGTTGAGCCAGCTGCCAGTTTGACAGAGAAATGTCACCTTCACATCTCACATCATCACTTTGCACTCTGATTTTCTCTGTGAAGAGAATTAAAAAGCTGCCAGAGCTGAATGTTATAATCACACCTGAGTCAAACTATTGACAGTCCAAGTCAAAAACTGTGGGAGAAAATATGACTCAAAGGAAACATATTTTCATCAAGTCAACAAGCACCTATTTTCAGTCATTTTGAATTGTTGGCCCCACTCATTAATTATTAAAAAGAATATTAAAAGAAATGTTCAGTCCATAGACTGTACATAGAATGGACGCCGTCTGCCTCCTCGCTGGGTGAAACCACCTCAAAAACAGCACCCTCTGGTGACGGGCTGCAGTATAGATCATAAATCCCGCCTCCTCCAGCAATCGCTATGGAGCTGTGGACAAATTTTAGAAATGTATTACACAGAATATAAATTTTTCTCCCCCCTGGTTGTGATGTAGATATGTAGTTACTGTCAGACTGGTTTGTGCTCAAGTCCTCTTTTTTTCTGTGCAGCTCCATTTTTAACAGTTATTAAGGGGTTCATGTTTTTTATGATTGACACTTGATACAGCCTATGGGTGTACGAAGATTGCGTAGCTCACCCGAGGGATATGCTGTTTAAGCACAGCATCATCACAGCGTCATCACAGCGACTCTCCTGCTGAATGCATACAATGCTACTGCGCAAGCAGTGGTTCCAGGAAGTGGAGAAAATCCTGGAAATACAGAAAGCAATTCGGCTTCAAATTCGTATAATGAGGGAAGGCAGAGCCAAGTTGTCCATAGAATACACAGTCTGTGGTTCAGTCTGAAACCATTCAAGTGAAGCAGTCTCTGGTGGTGTTATGGTTTTTCAATCTGTCATATCTAGGAAATTATGAAGCAATTTCTTATTTTTTTCAACAGAAATGTATAGTCTAACTGTCTAGTCCAAGGGTTAGAAAACGCTCAAAAAAACAGCCAAATTTAAACACAGTTTATTTGACACACCTAAAAGACCATAGGGTATAAATCACCAAACTGTCAGATGTGGCAAACACTAGCAGAGTGAGCACCACCAGCTTTATGTTCTTCCTGCAATCCTTCCTTCTTTGAAATGCTGCATTGATTAGAATAGAAAGGTAATTACTGCATAGCAGGTGACACTGACAGAACGCGCCCTACATGGGTCCTGTAGGTTTTAGGCTTTAGTGTGTATAAGATTCCTAGTGCTCCTGCGAGCAGCCTCAAGCGTGACTCAGGGAGTACAGTTTAGCACTACCACATGAGCCCAACCTCCCTAAGACCAGAAGTTGCCTCTTGGTTGAAGCCCACATGCCTGTGCTGGTTCCTTGTTGCTTTGGTTAAGTGCTTATACACCTGTTTAACTACATACAGCCCATACTGTGTACAGTTTTGTCATCATTTTCTAGATCCAAATATAGCAAAACTTTGTACTGTTAAGAGAGGCCATCTGCCATTTGTGCAAGCATTGTGAGCATATTCAAATATGGATCATATGAAAACATAGTTATATCCCCACCCTACAGTACAGGTGAAATGGAAAAATAGTTTTTTTGCAGATGTGCTTCGTGATGAACTTAATTTTACCTTTTGTCCTATCCTTACTTGCCCCGTCTGCTCTAGGGCGACGGGATGAGTTTGGCTTGCCTTTGCTCTATCCTCATGCCTTTCTGTTCATTGTAGGGAGTATTAACCACATTTAACCACATGACTTATAATTCACATTTAAGTAGTTTTGTACCGTTTGCATCGTCCTGTTATTTTATTTTATTTTATTTTTTCAAGACCAACCATAAGTTTACTTCATGAGGTATTGTCTAGTCACTAGATTCACACAGCAACATGCACTAGACTCTAGTGCATGTTGCTGTGTGAATCCACCTGCATCCTGTTTCTGTGTTTTTGACACACCAAATATGGAGGTTGTTCCTTATCTTGTCATAAGTGTGTACTCACTGAGACTGCCTCAGAGAGACTTGGTAGCTTAGACTGTTAGCACACTCTCTGTTACTATGTCTACTGAGCTTGCAATATAATACAAAGATGACAGATTCACTTGAGATCCTTTGTTGATTATTATTAAAGCACAAGTTATTTCCAAAACACAGTTTTGTTGTTTTTTTTGTGCTCAGAGCACTTTTATTTTTCACCTGTTACACAAAGTACCTAACCTCCTCTTCCTCCCTCCTCATCCTCACTTTGAGATTGGACTGAGGCATCACTCTCATTGACGTGTTTGTCCTTTGAGGTTCCTCCTGAGCTGTCGAGATTCATCTCGTCACTGTGCCACTCGAGTAACAAGCTCCACTTGTGTTCATGTAAGAGGAGGAAGAGGAGGCTCAGTCTGACCATCATCAGCAGTCTGACCACCTCTCTCTCTCTCTCTCTCTCTCTGTCTCCCTTCCTCCTCTGGGTCTTTATCTGTGTTCCTAAAATTCAGGTTTGATCACTTCATGTAGTAAATCAGCAGGAGAGAGAGACAGTAAAGACATCAGTCTTTGAAGCAGATGGTGTGTGGCATCTTAATATAAGCGGGCCTGTCTGTCAGTCTGCTCAGTGCTGATGACAGACACCTGACTGTGAGGCCGTCTGCTGCTGCTTCACTAATTAAACTCGTCTCACACTCTCTCCATCTTCTGGGAACACAGCTGTAACAGTCAACTTAATGAGCCGGCATGCTTGACAACCAGCATCCAATACAATATTTTCAGTCTGAACAACTTAAAGTGATTAATCAGTCTGTGGCATCCTTTCTTTTTGACTCATTTTAATTGATCATCATCTGAGAAGTTGTTGGTGTTTACAAAGAGATTTCTGTCGTATCATGTTCTAAACTACAGCTGACAAGGCTGCAACAACCTGAACAGAAAAAAAAAAAAATTGTAAATTCAGAAGCACACATTTCTGAACAAATGCAGTGACAGAAAACATGTTGCAAATAAAACAAACAAACAAACAAAAAAAAACTGATTTACTGGCTAGCCAGTAGATACATGGAGAATGACACCATCATGGAAAATATGTGAGTACACATCTGAAGTCCATGTGCTGGGAGTACCAATTCGTGGGTTGTAAATCCATGGGTACAGGTTATAAACTGTGCATGTGGAATTGTATCTGCCCCCTTTCTTTTTCAACCTGCAGAGCTCTGTAGTTTCAGGTTCGATTTGTTTGGTAATTTTTTTGTCTTTTCAGCGTCTCCTCCGGTCTGAAAAGATCAAAGCTCACTCTGTCAGCTGAATTTATGAGCCTCAGAAGTTGGATTAGTTTGAGGCAGATTTGTAAAATTTTCCCATCTGTTTCCATTCTTAAAATTATTCTTTAAAATAAGGGTGTTTCTAGCAGAGTAAAAGGAATAGAAATGGGAAAAATACAAGCTCCATTCTCCTCAATTTGCTAAACTGAAAACTAATGCAGCGTTAGAAGTTGCTCTCCGAGTAATTACAACAGGATGAAGGGTCAATCCTAAAGTGAGTGTATAAAGAATATCATGGTAAAAGGCACTTCAAATAATGTCACCACTTGGCTAATGTTAATGGACATTAGCTCTGGCATATTACGCTGGCCAAGTTAAGGTGGCATTAGCCTAATTGCCTATGGTGTTGTTATGTCACATAACTGCGGTGTCCACTTGCTCGGACTATTTTCATTGCCTGCTAAATGAAAATGTTTTAACTGTAAGTTTCAAATCCACTCCAGCCTCTCCATCCTCAGCCTCAACCGTCTCAGAACTCAACGCCTGTGTTAGAGGTTCAAACTTGTCTGCTCCGGACTGCCTTGGTCGTGGTGTACATGAGACTCCGGAGGAGAGAAAGCTCTGATTTTAGAATGCCTCTTGAGTTATCACCATAGACTGTATATAGAATGGACGCCGACTGCCTCCTCGCTGGGTGAAGCCACTTGAGAACAGCACCTTCTGGTGACGGGCTGCAGTAAAGGTCATAAATCCTGCCTCCTCCAGCAATTCCTATGGAGTTGTGGACAAACTTTAGAAATTAATTACACAAAATATACATATTCTCAGAGGGTAACTGAGGAGCCAAGAACAGAGCTGACACAGTAGCAGAAATCAATTGAGTCAGGGGAAAGTAACTTATTTGTAAATAAACTTTCAGGAGTCGAACTGATCAGTGTAGACTGTCTGCCAATCAGTGGGCCTAACATTAACTTGAAGTTTGATGAGCTCTCACAACAGGAACACAGAGAGCAGTGAGGATGAGCCAAGATACAGGTTGTTAAAATCTGAAGAAAAGAATAGCTTCTGAGTGGCTTCAATGTGAGGTAAATACAGAAATCACCAGAGACCTCGCCGCTATCAACAAAATTCTAATGCTTTTGACATTTTAGATTTTATTTATCAAGCTCTGAAAAGATTGAAAAAAAAAACAAAAAAAAACTTAAATTTAATTTTTCAAATTGTGCAAGAACCATGATGACATAACAGGACTGACATAAAATCACTGATTGAACCTTTAAAACTCCTCAGGTCAGTTCAGTCCACAGCAGAACGTTCCTGTGTTGATTTGTAGAAGAAAATTTAACTTGGACATGAATCAGAACCACCTTTAATGGCAGAAACCATGTTTGAGAAACACTTATTTGATGAGTACCATGATTTGATTACTCAGCCAGCCAGTCAGCAGGGGGACCTCTAGATTTCTTGATCTTAAGTCAGATGGATATTTATGCCATTTTTGATTGACAGTCTATGACTGCAACTAAAATATATTTCAATAAAGAGTTGAATAGGGACCTTATGAATTGGAAGTGATAAAATGTACATACAATGGTCCTTCTTAGCCCATTTAATACATTGTTATCACTTCAGCAACTGGAAACTATTACAGTCGCTCTACTGTTGTAAATGATTACGGTTTATGTTACTGTTGCTGTCAGTTTGCTACAACTTTATGTGATTCTTGTGTCATAATTGGATTTGCATGGAGTTTTACTTGTGCAGATGATCTGTTGTTTAAAATAAGTAAAGCACAGTAAACAAGAAGAGCCATAAACAGAGAAGAGGTATAAATGGTAAACGTACACTATCTAGACTTTGTGACATACCTTCTATGATGAGTAAGATTATTTTAATAGATTCGTCTCAGCATGACTCACTCTAGCTGTTTAAACTCACCCCGCCTACCCCGTACTGACCTCACAGTTTGATACTAAAAGGATGTATGCAAACCTTCAGCTTCTGCACATCATTGCAGCTGTAGAGATGTGTACTATCAGAGTCTGGTTCACAGCGGGGACATGAACCTGCTCACAAATCCGAGGATTGAGGCTGCTTTGAGGGATTAGAGTTTGGGTTAATAATCCTACAGCTCAGGTAAGGCTCTCAGTTTGACTCTCACCTCCTCCCCCATGAGGGTGGATGTGATTAATAAAACCTGTGCATGAAATTAAAATATTAATTTTTGTTGACAATAAGGTTTTAATATACTTTTATGGTTCACGGCAAGAGCTCACTGTATTTTCACTGTGATGATAAAGCTCTGTGTCTTTTTCAAGTAACTCAGAAAATCCCATCCTGCAGCAAAACCCCCAAAATAAAGCAGTCATAGCAGTGAAAGTAAATTGGATTAAGGGGGGGGGTTGTATTTGTTTTACCTACTGACTCTCATAAAGAATTTTTTGTTTCTGGTATATTGACGATATCAATATCATGCTGAAAATAAGCACACAGTTATACCGTGAGTTTATTGTTGTGGTCTTTTACTCTAATTTACTCTAATTCAGTGATTAATTCTTAATCCCCCCCAAAAAAGAAGGTTCAAGTTTGCGCTCCTTTAGATTACTGATCTATTCACTTTGGTTATTTAAACTGGTAATAGTCCACACTAAGTAAAGAAGTAAAGCAACCCTAATATAAGAAAAAATATCAAAATAAAAGTATGCAGAACGATCGTCATTTTGCAAGGCCAGGTAGTGTGGATAAATAATAAATCTGAACATCATTAGAAATGGAAGATGACATTTAAGATAGTACATGGACTTGTAATATTAATGTATATATATATATATTATGTTGCACCATCCTTGTTTTGCCATCCCTCAGTTTGACTAATTGTGTTTAACTCTCAACTCCTCCATAACTGTTGAGATTATATTGTTCTTGTGATGATAATTGTGGGGTGAAAATCCTGTATTCTCACAGCCCCCAAAACTCAAGCATGTAATTTTGAGTGAAGTTTCTCTCACTTGTAAGAGAAATCTTAAGACCTAGCTCTTCCAAGGACACCTACACATCAAGCAATTCATTGAATGTATTGATGATGTTTGATTTATGATCAGTCATGGTAGAGGACTAACTTTGTTACTTCATTTCTGTCTGTTGTAGTTTTTAAGGCTAAAAGATCAACTCTATCAACACCGACATTTGTGCCCAAACCAAAGCATGTGCAGCATTGAAGGATGTCAGTAATGCGGGACTGAGGCTCTCTGGCAGGTCTTACCAAAACTCATCAATAAAACTGGTCCGTACAATCCACAGCAGAGTTTTGGATAAATCAGTGACTCTCATGTTAGTGTAAGTTAAGTGTCTTTCCTCCCCCACTCTGTTTATGCAGTACAGGATGTTGCATGAGCCTGCATAAAAGCTAACTTAAATGACGAAAACCATGTTTTCCAAAATATTATGTGTATTCTATTTTTCCACTTTGACCTCAGGTCAGTCTGGTGACATTACAGCAGTAGGATTTCTGATCCATACTGCAGCCAGTCAGCATATGGAGCTCTACAGCCTTTGGCTTTAAGGGAGACAGAAAACTCTGTGAGATTAATGTAGCTGTCTGTATAGTGGGCTCAGTAGTGAGCAAAAGAGACACTTCTTCTGCCGTTTCCTTGGGCAATGAATAATGACATAATTGCTGTCGCACATTAAAACTAAGTCAGTTTGGTTTTTATGTCTTTTTGTCAACTAAATATGATGCTTTAAATCATTGGTGAAATGTCCAACAGTTTATGTGAAATGCCTTTAAATAAAAAAAAAAAATAAAAATTAAAAAAAAAATATATATATATATGTATATCATCAGACTGTTGTTCTATTCACACCGCAATGCATGAGTAGGAACGAGTGCCTAATCAGTTACCATTGTTTGATTGCTTGTGGACTAACTTTCACAATGCATTTTAAGATACAATGAGTCTACTTGTGCACATATATTTTCACTCAGGCTTCATACAGCATTATTAAATTGTGTGTTTACTGTGCGGTGGACTATATAGTGATTTCAGACCCCTGTCCACCCTTTTAATTGCCTCTGTGCTCTGCCTCATGATACTGTTTTTTACTCTTACTTCTGTTGTTTTCTGTTTAGATCCTCAGTACTGTTGTTTGCTGTGCTGTAGCTGCTCTTATCTCCACATTTTTACTAAAAACACTTTGATACTCTCTAGCTTTCATAGTTATTCCCAGGCTTTTTATATGTGATCTTTTAATCAGTGAAATTAAACTTGTCTGAACTACTTGAAAGTTGTCTGAGGTGTTCATAATTCAGTTCAGAATGTTCAGACTTGTTTTGTAGTGTTCAATGTAACCACTAGGTGGCACTTTTCCTCCAGCTTGATGAAGAAACAGCTGCTGAACATGATCATGAAGAAAAAAATTTTTTTTTCATTGAGTATATCTGTATTCTTTGTTTCTCCTGTTTCTGTGGCACATAAATTATCTGACCATCATTTTTTTATTTTCCTGTGAGTAGGAGCAAACGGACAGGAGCTAAAGTAAAATCAAAGAAAATACACACTCAACCTTTTCCAACCCTGATGTCGCCACATGTAAAGTAATTTCTTTCAGAAACACCATGACAGACTCTTTTCATGTCATCCATCATTGGTTGGTCACTTTCATCGTCATGGAAAGCATAGTTAGTATGCAGTTTCACAGGGTTCACCATAGTCAGGTGTTTCAGCTCAAGTGTTTTTGTTTTGCTGATGTCAAAGCACTCTTCAAATATTTGTTTGCTATAGAAATAAAGTAATCATATCAAGTTTTACTTAGGTGAACACTTGTGTGAAAGTTCATCTAAGTTTACTGTGTTTTATTTTTTGTCTGTGCTTTTACTGCTGAAAATGCTCGTTTATAAAACTGAATGAAAAAAAAAACAAATTTAAGTAGCGTGGGTGTAAACCAAATGAATTTAATGAAATATTCCACTCATGGAAACAGCTCTTCGTTTACATTTTAAAGCATGAAGCACAAATCATATTCTGAGTTCATGAACTTTTTGTATGGAGTTTCCTCTCAGCCTTGTGAAGCCGCTCTGACACTTTAATCCGACATGATTGTAAACCTGTAGTAGCCAGCAGATTCTCATATAGTCCGTCTAGTCCGGGTAATGCTGATGCTGCGGTTGTCATCCGTGTTAGTATGACGTTGAACCTTTATTAACATGGTATATTGTATGTTAAAAACACATTAAATGTCCTAAAGTGAAATTATAAAGAGCCACAGAAAACCCTTTTCATCCAGATTGAGTCCATCAGGGATTAACTCACTTATATTTGTGCAGTCGGCACTTTGCTGGATAATCCCGACTCTGCAGGCCAACAAATCATGTCAAATCCTCTCTGAGTCTTCTTCGTGTTACGGCTCTCAGAGAGGCAGCCCTGCTGAGGTTTTCCTCAGTGTTCACCAGATCCACATTGAATCATGTTCCCCCTGTGACCCCATGTGTTTCTGTGATTCTGCAGTCACTCACAGTGTGAGTACCAAAGAGTCAGACAGCCTGTGCAAAGGTTTCCTATGAAGACCGTCTCTCTGCAGGACCAGTTCTTAAACCTGTTTGACTTGTTCTCATCATCATCTGGGTAAATACTCTTGTGGTAGTCTGCTAAAGTTCCTGCTCTGCAGCGCCTCGTCCACACTTCGGATAAAGGGGTCGATCAAGTCCCTCATTTCAGTAGTGAAGGGGTCAAAAGAGGGTCTCTGCCCCCCTGAGCGTTTGAAATGTCCGTCCTGGTTGGTCTGAGCACACAGCAGCCTCTCCTCAGTCGTGGAGACATTCAGAAAAGTGGTGATGAGGTGGAGCTGAGAGAGGAGAGACCTCTGCAGCTCCTCGTAGTGCACCACCAGCAGGCGGCGTCCAAACTTCAACCAGCTCAGAGCGTGAGATGCCCACCAGGGGGCGTAACTGGAGACAAACTCTGGCCACTCTGCAAAGAAAAGACAAAGTCAATTTAGAGCAGCGACTTTCATTAAAAAGATCTGTTGTTTATAAGTATAACTACAAGGTCTTATACCTCCTGCTTGATTTTCTCACTTTCATTTGCATGGATTAAAAGTCTAAATTTCAACATGAAGACTATTTTGTCTTTTCATCTCAGTGTGTACAGTAACCCACAAGGCTGAGTCGAAGATTGAGAAGAAAAATGAAATATGTTGCAAAAGAGAAAATCACACCAAAACAGCCCAAAATTACAGAGCCCTTCTGGTGACGTTGGAAAAAAAAATCAATACGTGGCCACAACTCATTATCCAAATACTTATATACTTGTACTCCAAAATCATCACACACACCAAGGAGTCTCTGTACTGTAAAACAGTGGAGCTATTGATTGTTGTTTGCAGCGTCTTGGTCTTGTATTGCAACTTGCCAACGGTCCCTGCACACTCGCCCGGCTACCGGCTGTGCATAGAGATCAATATCATTCATCTAGCTCGAAGAATGGCTTGTTTTTGTAACATGTAATGTATTTACTCCATGATCAGATGTTGCTTTCATGGAAATGCACCATTTTACTCCATTTACCTTCAGATATACAGTACAGGCCAAAAGTTTGGACACGCCTTCTCATTCAATGTCTTTTCTTTATTGTTTTATATGAATATTTACATTGTAGATTATCACTGAAGGCATCAAAACAATGAATGAACACATGTAGAATTGTGTACTTATAAAAAAAAGTGTGAAATAACTGAAAACATGTTTTATATTCTAGTTTCTTTAAAATAGCCATCCTTTGGTCTTGATGACAGAAGTACCTTGTCAGGGTTACTTCAGGCACTCCTGTGAAGTAAAAACCATTTCAGGTGACTACCTCATGTAGCTCATTGAGAGAACAGCTAAAGTTTGCAGCGCTATCAAAAAAGCAAAGGGTGGCTAGTTTGAGGAATCTAAAATATAAAACATGTTTTCAGTTATTTCACACTTTTTTCTTAAGCACATGATTCCACGTGTGTTCATTCATAGTTTTGAGAATCTACAATTTATATAGTAATGAAAACACAGAAAATGCATTGAATGAGAAGGTGTGTCCATACTTTTGGCCTGTACTGTACATTGATGTTAACAGACCATTGCTAAATATATGTCAGCAAAAGACAATAAGGGCTTAGTTTTAGGGTTGAAAACATTTGCAAGAGTCACAACTTCAGTGCAAAAGCAAGAAAACAAATCACAATTGGATTATTCACTTCAACTTTTTGGCTTTTGAGAGTCTTTATACAAAAATCCTAATAAATCTCAACAGCCTTCAAACTACCGCAAAAATGGCTAGAAAGAGGCAACTGAGTAAAAAAACAAAAGTACAGATTTGTACATTAAGGAAAGAAGGATACACAGAAAGAGAAATTGCAAAATGCCTAAAGGTGTTTAACAAAGGAGTCCACTAGACTCTAAGGAGACTAGAGAAACCTGGAAGTTATGATGATAGAAAAAGACCTGGACGAAAGAGAGTTACTACAAAAGCAGAGGATAAACATAGCATTGTCACCAGTAAGAGAGATCGGCGAAAGACAGCACCACAAATAAGGGAGGAAATCAACATGACAAGGTCGAAACCCATATCTCTGACAACCGTGAAAGGAAGTTTGAGTAAGGCCGGTCTGAAGGATTGTGTATCTGCAAAAAAAACACAACTTCATCCACAGAACAAGAAAAAGAGATATGAGTGGGCAAAAGGTCACAAAAATTGGACTTATGATGACTAGAAACAAGTTTGCACTGTTTGGTTCAAAACGCAGAGTCAATGGGCTCTATTTTCGTGCCTCGCCGGAGACGTGCCGCAGGCGCGGCGTAAGTCAGGTCCGCTGCGCCTACAAGGCATTCTCAAGCACAATTTGGTATTTTGGTGAGCGACGCAGCCCGGCATTAGTATCCCCCCTCCCTAACTCAGCTCCTCCCAGCGGCGAAAGTCGTAGCAAGGGAGGAAAGAGGGCGTGGAGTGGGTTTAACACAGCCGAGACCAGTTTTCACCAATCACATCAGGTCCTCTCCTTGCCTTTAAATCCGCCACCAGCAAGGCGTATTACAATTTTCGTGAAGTAGTCAAAGAGATCAAGAGATGTCTGAAGACAGTAATGCCACAAGATGGCGACAGAAGGCAGCTCCTCAACAAGTGTCACTGTAAGCGCTGCATTGGGCGTCCTCCACACTCTCTCATATGAGCACAGATGAATTTGGTGTGTGTAATGTTGGACCCACTGGTAAGACAAACACCCTTTTCCACAAATAAAGACACTCACATAAAGTTGCATACATTCAAACCTCACGTGACAAAGGTGGGTTGTGCGCACAGATCACAACATAAACTCCAAAAATGGCATTAAAATCGGAACCATATGTGCGTAAATGACGCATCCCGCTTCGTGGCCTGGCTCTTTCTTTCATAGATGTTGGCATATAAAATAAATTTTGTTCACAAAACTGAAAATTATAATATCCGTATGTCGGCTTAAAGTAGATAACTCATCTGATCACTGAAACAAATCATCTGTTCAGCCGCCGCTGCAGCAGGACGGGGAGAGGACACAGAGACATGTCCAGGTCGAGCTGCGCGAGAAATAAGAGGAAGAGGAAGAAAGAAAAGGAGGGAGACAAATTACATATCTTGTAAACTTCATCATGTATGTCTATTTACTAGATATTTAGTTTAATTTAATGCGGTTTCAGCTGTGTAGATTGGATCAGGTTGTGTGTCCAAACGCGTGCCAAACGCGCTCATCAGATCAGATATAGATCAGAATATATCGATATAGATCTAAATGTATGTGCTGACTCAGATTAATAGTTGTTGATGATTATTTATTGCACTGAAATGTGCCTGACACTGTGGAAACCTGCCGGTGAGGCATCAGTGACGTATGTCGATACGCCGCCGGTCTACCAAAATACTACTGGACCAGCTGCGTTCCGCCTTGCGCTGAAAGCTGACCAGGTCTGAATCGGCGAGCTTTCAGTACACTTTACACGCCACTGGCGAGCACGAAAATGTCACTGCGCCCGCTGATTCTGTCGACACCTCCCCCTGCCACGCCACCACGCCCAGCTTGGCGGATCTCGGTTCACCTCCGTGCGCCTCAGTCCACGAAAATACCAAACTGGCTGTACGCCAGGCTCTGCCAGACGAAAATACAACTGCGCGGGGTCCGCCGCCCTCTGCTGCCTCACCAGCGTACACGAAAATAGAGCCCTAAGACTGCTGGCAAAAGGGGAGCTGAGTGATTTTCTAAATCCTGTATAATACAGAAAAGACTGTCACCATTTTACTGCTGCTGGAGAGCAGAATAAAATTTGGGTCAAGAGACACAAGTAACACATTTTATGAAAAGACCTCTCTGTCCACTGGGGGGTGCCAAAATCAACACAAAGTGACAGTTCCTCACAGGGGCTTTAAAAAGTTCTGGAACACTGCAATGGAAACCTCTACAAAAGGGGTATTGTATGTTATAATAGACCATCTTTGTCCACTGGAGTCTCTTTTTGTCAGTGTTTTAGGATGTGTAATATTTTGTCATCTGCAGATTTGTGTAAATTACTGATATTATGTTTTCTATTCATCAAAAATAAAGAAATGAGTCATGCAGCAATCATAAAATGTCATCAGTGAAAGGACGGATTTCAAACTGATGGCAATAAAGATGATGTTGGTTCTTTTGGAGCGTTTTAACAGCGCTGCTAATGGCTCAAACATAAACATGAGAGGAGATGAAGGATAACACTGACTATTTGATCTAAAAGGCTGAGCAGATGAAGATTTAATGTTGCAGTAACAGCAACTAAAAGCCTCAGTCTGCTGCGCGCACATTGTGCTAAAGCCACATTTAATTTCAGTCAAACTCTGAACAGTGATTCTCATCCTGTCAGAGACTGTGGTGATATTGCTTCCTCTAGTTGCTCTATTGATGTCTCTTGACATTTATTTGAAAAGTCTCCTCATGTTATTGGATGTGAGGTGTCCGGCAGTGAAGCCCACTTGATCTGTATGAATTAAAGATCAAAACAGGCTCTGAAGACACACTGCTAGCATCTCTGCAAACACTTTATAACCATTATTCCACAGACTCTGGATGGAAATTATTCATCTGCAAATGGTCTTTGAGTGGTTTTGTAACAGAGTGATCACAGCAGAGCTCACACTGTGTAGCACTGTCTGACTCAAAGTACACAGAGGAAGGTTATCAGCACATCTTTAAAGCATTTATTCAACTCAGTATGAAATTGTTCTTTTCTGTGCTTTAATAGAAGTCAAAGTCCTGACGGCAGCCTTGATCCCTGACACACTGATACCTGTCTAAGCATCCTGCCTCAGCTTCCTTTAACTCAGGCAAAGACAAAAAGCTGACAAATATTTCTGTCCTTTGAAAAACATTTAGTTTTAGATTAGATTTCCAAAACTTCACACTTAAGTGAAAGGCTTTGAATATTAAAGAGCCCTTGTCTTTATGATTTAAAGGAATCAGCTGTTTTGATTTTGTCTTAAAGGCCACAATCTCACTTTGAAGTCCTCTGATCCTGAATAACTGGGACACGCTTTCTGAAGAGAAAGCTCTTATTTTAATTCTTAACCCTGAAAGTCTTCAAACACATGGTCCAGAGTGCTTACAGTGTTATTTTTGCTTTTTGTGAGAGTATTTCTTTGAGTATTTTTAATTTGTATCTCATGAGGCTGAATAAGCAAAGCTGAAAGGTCGTTCAAGTCAAGCACATGCTGTGTTGGTTTAAACTTCTCTTGCAGCAGAAGAACTTTTTGTTGCACATAGATTTGACCTCATCACCCACATGCAGAGACTGAGTGGTGATTATACCTTGTATCTAATAACTGGAGCCTACAGGTGCATGGAGAGGTGTTGGGGTTCAAAGTTTGAGCGCTGCAGCAGGGCAGAAGTCAGTACAGTTACATGCACTGTGACATGGAGCTATATCTATACAGTGTGTAAGGCCTGTGTTTCAGGGTCATATATGAAAGATCAACAGTTCAGGGGTGTTATTACTGTTATTAGTTTTTAGTGAAATAAAGTTTCATCACAAAGGCTGTTATGTTTTTATGTATGTTTTCATGTCCTAGCTCAAACAGGACTTCATGTTCTGATTCAAGTAAATCTTTTTTTCTGTAAAATCGTGACATAAATCGGAGAGACTCACTCTCCCTGCACTTCGAAATATTAAAGAATAAGTCATTCGTATATTAATGTTAGGTAGATCTAGTCCATAGACTGTATATAAAATGGACACCGTCTGCCTCCTCGCTGGGTGAAGCCACCATGAGAGCAGCACCCTCTGGTGACAGGCTGCAGTATAGGTCATAAATCCTGCCTCCTCCAGCAATCCCAATGGAGCTGTGGGCAAACTTTAGAAATTTATTACACAGAATATCCATTTTTCTCCCCCCTGGTTGCAATGTTGTCATGTAGTTAATAATAATAATGCATCAGATTTTTATAGCGCTTTTTTGTCAGTGACCTCAAAGCGCTAGTTACTGTCAGACTGGTTTGTGCTCAAGTCCTCTTTTTTCTGTGAAGCTCTGTTTTTAAAAGTTATTAGGGGGTTCATGTTTTCTATGATTGACACTTGATACAGCCTATGGGCGTATGAGGATTGTGTTGCTCACCCGGGGGGATACACTGTTTGAGCTGAGCATCATCACAGCGACTCTCTGCAACTCTCCCGCCAAGTGTGCACAATGCTACTGCCCAAGTGGTGGTTCCAGGAAGTGGGGAAAATCCCAGAAATACCAAAAGCAAATTTGGCTTTAAGATTTGTATAATGACGGAAAGCACCAAGTTGTCCATAGTATATACAGTCTATGATCTACGCCTGTCATAGTTCTGAGGTTCCATCTGCATTACCTAAGCTATGCAGCCTTTATTGTTTTAACTTTTGATCAACATGTTTCAGTCAATAACACTAAACGGTAAAGCACTCATACTAAGGACGTGCTTTTCTACTCTGTCTGACTACTTTAAGTGCTTCTTACTCTGCACATCATATTTACCCATTCACTTCACACTCATGCACTGTTAGCAGACAATACTGCCACAGGAAACAGCCCATTTGCATGTCTTCAGGCATGTCTTCGTTCTGTTGCAGATTTTTGTCGATTTTTTTATCATTTGTGGATGCATTCTGTTTTGTTAATACATCAATAATCTATTCACATATTTTCTGATCTCTTTATGCATCATGTGGATCAATTTGTTGATTCAATCTGTTTTTTTTTTTATTTACTAGCGTATTTGTGGATCTAGCTATGCCTTTGTGAGTTTTTATCCCAGGCTTTTATGCTTTTACAAATCACTTTTATTGTATTTTGAATTCAGTCAAAAATCTCATAACCTGGAAAAATAACATCAAATCTGTTTCCCTGCAGAAATACAGGCTCAGTATGAGAAAGATGGGTTTTTTTGCTGACCCTTAAGACATGCTGTATCTGTCTGTGTCTGAATGAGTGTCTGGTTCAAGTGGACTAAAAATGACACTTCCCATTTCTCGCTTTTCATGAAAGCCTCATTCAGCTTGTGAGCCGTTTAGTAGAAGAGCTCTCAGAGAGTATGTGTGTTTTACGTTTCTGATCTGTGGATAAAAGCTGAGATGCTGCAAATAGCAGCGTTCAGTGTAAATATAAGACTTAAATTGCTTCTTTATGCACTCAGAGTCTCAATAACAGCATGCCCTCTGGTCTGCAGCTGCAGAAACATCAGCAGGACATGAAGCAAACAGCGGTAACTACAGGATCCTCCAGCAAAGCCACAAACCACTGAACTCTTACATAATAATCCCTTTACCTTTACTCTTCCACTGCGCATCTGTAGCGTGGCCTAAATGACCGGCACACTTGCGGTTGAACTCAGCCATAAGGGAGCGGTATGGATTTCTGATCAGCAGGATGGCAGAATCAAACATCTCAATCTCTTTCTGACCACTCTCATGGGTTTTCACACAGATGCTGCGGCCACTCTTCCAGTAGTCCTTCTCCCCTTTGAAACCTGTGACAATAAATAAATGAATCAGAAATGGTCAGCAGCGGGGAGACATTTCAAGAAGCACTCACTCAGAGCATTCATCAATCCAGCTGAGACTTGCCGCCCGCCCACACACACATACACACACACACACACACACACACACACACACACACACACACACACACACACACACACACACACACACACACACACGAACACACACACACTCTCTCTCTCACCTCTGTTGTACAGGGTGCCGTCAAAATAGAAACTGCCAGTGTAGTAGCCCGTCACGAGCTCAATCAGGTGCCGAACCCAGGTGTTTCCAGCACCAGGAAAACTAGATAGAGCCACGAGGGAGCTGGATCTCTGAGGCAGAAACATGCGCTCTTTGCACCTGGAGTCTGAGAGCACAGAGGACCTCATGTCATTCATTCATGAAAGAAAACTGAACCCCAGTTAAATTTAATGAATTACAAAATGTGGATGCAGGGAGCCGGTAATGGATTCACTCTGAACAAAAAAGACTCAGAATAGTGTGACAAAAATTGCACTATGGTTGCAAAAGTGACAAAAAGGATAATAGAGAAGAATTTGGGTCGGCTCAAAGTTTGGAAATAACAAGATGCTTTTGAGGAAAATCTCCTCCTTAATCATGCAAAAAGGCTGAGCTCAGGCTGAAGGAGTTTCTTTGAACCTTAACAGTATGAAAGCAGGTTGCATAAGGTGAGCATAAGGTGAACAAAAAGATACATGAATAATGGTGTATTACAAACTATAAATGAGCCCTGAACATATTGTGTGTGAAAAGAAAGCAGTGTTCATAGGCAGGTATGAAAGGACCCTGAATATGTATTCTTTATTTTTATGTAAGGTATTTAAATAAAAATGTTTACCAAAGTTGATGCAACATTTTGCCTACTTGGGTTTTACTTGGGCGGCCCGCCCAAGAAGGGGAAAATAGAATTTAAAAACAAAAAAGCAGTCATACAGACACACAGAAAGCAGGGTTTCCTCCAGACAAACCCGGCACAGCGTGGGACACGCTGGTGAATATACAGAAGCGCACCCAAACTGTTGCACCCCAGCTACACTAACTTATTGTTGATTATATACAGTTTTCTTCCTCACACAGCTTCGGTTTTTGTACCACTGTTTTTGTCTCAGAGACTGAGGGCTCTATTTTCATGCCCATCGGCGACGCGGCGGATGGTGGCGGACCCCGCGCAGTGGTATTTTCGTCTGGCGGAGCCCAGCGTACAGCCAATTTGGTATTTTCGTAGACTGAGGTGCGTCGAGGTCCGCCAAGCTGGGCGTGAATGCGCAGTAGGGGAAGGTGTCGACAGAATCGGCTGGCGCAGTGACATTTTCGTGCTCGCTGTCAGCGTGTATCAGCATACGTCACCGATGCCTCACCAGCAGGTTTCCACAGTGTCAGGCACATTTCAGTGCAATAAATAATCATCAACAACCAATATTCTGAGTAAGCACATACATTTAGCCAGGTCTTGGCTGTGTTAATCCCACACCACGCCTTCTCTCCTCCCTCGCTACGACTTATGCCGCTGGGAAGAGCTGAGTTAGGGAGGGGGGATACTTACCGCTGACCAAAATACCAAATTGTGCTTGGGAACGCCTTGTCGGCGCGGTGGACCTGACTGCGCCTGCGCCATGACGCCGGCGAGGCACGAAAATAGAGCCCTGACTATGACTTTTTTTTGTTTAAGACATGAAGCCAATTTAAAGCTATTTTTTCCTTTGGGTTGTTTGTTAACAAAGCAACAGTCTGTAGAAGTCTAAAGTTGTAAACAAATGCCATGTGCGAAAAAACTTCTCATTGGTCAGTGTAATGATCATGCACTGTCTACCCTATGTTTTATGTTTGTTTTGTTTTATGTTCTGTTTTTAAAAGTGCACAATAAAATGTGACACTGAATTTAAAACAGCACATTGTAATTTCTGCATTTACAAACTATTTTGTCAGTAATACGGTGAAAATGAGAGGAAATGTTAATTATTTGCCCTGCAAGTCAAGTTACAGTGTACAACCCTACATTTTCTGCTTGCGCTCCTAAATTTTTTGTCGGTGGTTACTGTGCTCTTAGCAAAACCAGTTAGTCTGGAGCCCTGTATGTGCAATAAATAAGGCATAGTACATAAACATTAGTTTGACTAGAATATTTTGAATGCACTTATCAAACACCACGGCAACGCCCGGCCCACCACCACAGGTAAATTCTCAACCAAGAGGAAACACTGTACTAATCTGAAAATTCAAACTTTACACAGGGTTTAAAATCAGACACTGTCACACACAAACGACTGGCACAGAGCTGTTCATGTATAAGTTATATCTCACCCAGCACAGGTGTGTGGTACACCTGGTAGTGCTCGTGCTCAGTGGGAGCTGCTGGTGTGGAGATGCTGCTGTAGTTCAGAGCAGTGTTTCCTGCACACTGCTGGCTGTCAGACTGCTGGTTGAGGCTGAACAAAGAAGACGTCCAGGTACAGAAACAGTGGGGCTTCTTGAACACAGCCAGTGGGAGCTCCTGAAAAACCACCAACACAAATGATCTACTTTTTCTCTGACTCATCAGTCTCAGACTTGACTTTCTGAAGGCACATTTCACCCAAGAGCAATGTGTCGGATCAGGTCAGCAGTAAAGTCTGTATCAAACACACACTTCATGCCCATTGAAGTCCAGTTTTGTTCATTTCGCTCACATTTCAAAGTCAGATTTCTCAAAGTCAGAGCAGAAGGACAGACACTGCAGAGATTTTTTTTTTCAGTAATACTGTGAATAATCACACACGGACACTGAAAATTTATCACAATGCTGTCCCCACCAAATGGTGTGCAGTATTTCCATTTCTGTTTTTCAATGAGACACAGCTGCAGCAGTGAGGTGTCAGAGCAGGATTTATATTATCTCCTCCTCATTAGCGGCACATTAAACCTAAAATATTCAGAGAATCTAAGCAGCTCTCTGCTGCTACAGCTGATCTCCTGAGGGTGGTGCAGCCACTCTCCAAGCTTGAAGGCATCTACTGATAATCCACAGAGAGCTGAGTGCAAAATATTGATCATCAAACTGGTGGTTTAAAAAGAGAAATGATCAAACCTTGTCAGTGCAGGTTTCAATGCAGGCCTGAGTGGTCAGGTTGGGCTGAGAGGAGAAGATTGGGAATGTGGTGAGGGTGTTCTTTGGCAGCTTGAAACAACCTCGATAGTGAACGTTTTTGACTGGAAAAAACAAACACAAAAAAAATTACTGTCAAGGATTAATGTATGAATGTATTAATTAACGTATCCTTTCACAAACTAAAATACTACTGTCATTTAAAACGAGTGGGAAACAATTCCAGTTCAAAATCTCTAAACAGCAAAACTATTAAACTAGCGATCGTATTATAACCAGGAGTGTAAGTAGCACCAACGACAGCCCTGCCCCCACTAAGTCGCTGAGGATCATTCCTCTTATTATTCAAGGTTATTTAAAATTATCTTCAAATTGCTTGACTGGCATCACCAGCTTTGCTCCAGGCAGTTAAGGATATTTCAACTGAGCGTACTTCAGGATATGATTAATTTTCTTTGAGACAATGCGCAGGGTGTGCAGAGGACAACAAGGATTGCAGAGATTGCATTTCTTTAATTTAAAATAGCAATTTAACAAATTAAAAAAGGAATAAATAAACTACACTCTATATAAAGCCATTCATTAATCAATGCATACATAGAGGAATAGTAAAAAGATTTTTAAATGAATCTTTAAAATCTTCCATCAGTTAATAATCATAAAACATTAAATGTTATCCTTATTAAATAGTTTATTTATTTTTTTTTAATTGTAAAAGAAGTATAAAGAAATGAATTATGATACAGTTTTTAATTGGGCATCTTAAAGGACGATTCCGTCTTTCATTTCCATTTCCTAGCAGCTTTCCCTTTTTGTATCAGCTAATTAATTTGCAAAGTCATGTAGCCTTTTAATTCTCCCTCCTCATGTCAGCTTTCCATGACCAGTGGGTGAAACAAGGCAAAGAGTACATATTAACCATGTAATGAGCTTTATGATTCCTTAAAACATGGCCTATATATTTATGGGTTTAATGATGAATTTGTACAGTTGTACAATTGCTTTCTAATAAAAGGCATGCTTTATTAGAATAACGTGAGCCTTGTGGTCCTCCATAGAGTGCATAGTAAAGCAAAGATAAGACTTTAACAAACTGGGAGGTGATAGACACAAAGCACCATAACGACAGAAACCAAGGGTGAGGAAGAGTGAGTGGTGCAGTTTATCACTCCCAGAAGAAGGTGGTCACATCCTGCTACGGTTAAATGTGCTAATTTACCAAAGGTGTAAATATCTACTCACTGACTCAGGTTGTGGTCATAAACATTAAAATGATAGTGATTTGTTTATGTAACTTTATTAAAATGAGGCATTTTAACATTTTAATTCCACTTGTCTCATTTTCTTATTTGATCTCATGATGCAATCTTCTGACTTTTTAATTAAAGCTGCTGTGAGGAGTTTCAGATTTTGTCAGATTTGGCGCCTCCTGTGGACAAAGATGTGCACCTTATGTCGTAGCTGATTTTATCCCATACATGCCAAGACGTTTTTTTCTTGAAAAATCTAATCCTGCTTTCTTTAAATGGATAAATGTACAGCTTCTTGTGGGTTTTTACTTTTTAAACATAATGAAGGTTGCTTCTTTAGTTTGTTGTCCATCACCTCGTCTGACACACGACCCCCTCGTTGAAAATCATCTGAAAGAAATAACCATCCTTGCAGCTTCTGGTCTTTTTTGCTTTTCTTGGTCATGAAGAGGTTTCACTATTAATTTGAGCCTGTTTCACTATGAATTAACAATTCCTCATAGTAGCTTCAACTGCTATAATAATCCTTTGCTTTTCATCCTATTGTACAACTTCTTATTGTATAAATGTCATTAAATTTTCTTTTCACAGCCTTTAAGGCTTTCATTTACTTTCGCTGATTATTTTATTCAATACATTTTCTTTCTGTTCCTTTTTTTCTCTAACTTTGTTTAACTCTTGTTGTTGTCCTGAACTCTGGTTATTAGTTTCCGGCATTTATTATTTCACTGAAATGGATTTTACTGCTTTAATTTCAAAATGCTTTTATCCACTTAAAAGTGACTCACTGTATTAATTGCCCTTTTTTTACTGCTTACCTCTTCACCTTTTTTAATGGTTCCCTTCTCTTTTATTTGTTCAATCACCGTACTATCTCAGTCCCTAAGATCTCAGTTTATGATGTCAAGGTTTTTGCAATTCCCCGGCTCTCATGACTTCTCACAGGTTCTTGTGTTTATGGTAAATAAAGTTATTATTATAATAGTGTCTTTGTTTTTTTAATAGTTTCTATTTTTGATTGTTTATTTCCACTTATGAAGCATCAAATCAGTATTGGTACTGTACTGTAATTTAAGAGGCTGGTATCATCCATCCATCCTTTCATTATACTGTTACTGAAAAACAACATTTGCATGCATGCTAAAAAATGTAAAGTTAGGCCTGAAATCCTCCTGGTTTCACCCCACAGCTCACGTTTCTGTGGATTTGCATGATTCATGTGGGTCACCTTGACACGTCAGAAAATCCTGAGTTATCCAGAGAGATCACATCCCTGTTCATCTTTTATTTTCTCTAAAGTTTCAGAGTATACACTGTGGTAGATATCAAATATGAGAGTCCTAAGTATTTATATGTTATCAGAGCTCTGAAGGAAGCAGTTGTAAAAGATCAGGATTGTAATAAAATGACAAACCTGTTCAAAGTATTTCTGCTCTACATTCATTCTTATACTAAACCGTATCCTGCTGGTTAATGTATTCACTACTCAGCTGCAAATCTCCAGAGACACAAAAGCGACTCATCATGAATATTAATACTGTATATGATATAAACTTCTTATATAATATATGTGACCTTGCCAGCAGTAATGAGATGTATTTCTTTAAAGCACAGAAAAGAGAGAAATGTTTATGTATAAGGAGCTTTGTTGGATTTTGCATTTTGCTGTTGTTTAATGAAGAATCTTTGACTATAAAGGACAGTACATGTCTTTGCGTGGAATAATAGGATACACATTCCTTTTAATGAAACACAGGAGCTGTGATTAAAAAGCATCACAGGCTATATAAAAGGTACAAAAGCTGACAAAATGTTTCTCTTGATAAAAACATCTTTCCTCAGATAAACTGCCACGAAGAAGGCGCTTGATTGAATGTCATCAAAGACATGGACTGTTTAAAAATGAATGATATGACGGCTGTCAAAGAGTGAAGCCAAAACATTTCCAGTTTAGAGTGAAGCATATGGTCATAAAGTTGAACAGTGTGTGACACTGACAACAATAGTATTTCTGAATCATGAATAAATGTGTTGAAAAAGGAGCTTGTTAAATTCCCACTTTTAAACGTTAATGTTTGTAAAAACAACTTGTTTAAGAAAAAAAGGTTTTATTGATCAATTTAAAACAGAGCCATTTAAGTGAATAAATACAAAAGCACTGACCTAAGCCTGTATTAAGATCAAATTGTAAACAGATTGGTAAACTATTTTAAATTCACCTTCAAGGTTAACACATAAAATATTGCAATGAGACCAATAAACACTTTTATGTCATTTTCCAGTAAGTGAGTAAATATCAGAGAGCTAGTTCCGTCATTCAAAATAGAAATGTTGATTTCTACAGCATTATCATGTAGCTGCAAATTCTTTCCCCTGCTCCACTGCTGTCTGCATGTTGGAGCTTTGTGGGGCTACATCAATATTGATTTTAACTTGGTTTCTAGCTGAAAAAAAAACGTCAAAACTAATAGATGCATTAAAGCTGGACATTTTCTTTAAAACACTGGCAATGGTAGGACGTTGATTAGAGCTGCAACAAACGACTATATTAATAGTCGACTAGTCACTGACTATTAAAACGATTGGTCGACAAATTGGATAACTATGATTTTTTTTTTCTTAAATTTAACATAAGGTTGCAGCAGTTGAGGTTGAGGTTTTCTTTTTTTTTTTTTTTTTTCGCCTTATCTAGGCTAGAGTGCTCTCAAGCTTTGGAGCTTTTTAAGCGTGTACTCGTAGCTGCTGTATGGGCCGCTGGTGCCACCATATTTGAATACCCTACTGCTCGGTGGAGATGCTATTGCGCATGTGTGACTCTGGGCAGAGATCGTAAAGAAGTAAGATGCCTCACTCCAATGAAAAAAACATGTCTGACGACAATAGTTGACAATGGAATTCATTGTCGACTTTTTTCTTGTTGATTTTTGTTGACAACATCGACTAATCGTTGCAGCCATGGCACTGATGGCTTAGTGGTTTGAGCACCCCACGCACAGTGGCTATAGTCCTTACTGCAGTGGTCACTGGTTGTTGCCTGCTCTCTGATCCCCACATTTCCCATTTCTCTTCACCTTTCCTATTTGGTGAAGGCAAAAATGTCCCAAAGGTAACAAAAAAATAAAAAAATAAATAAAAAAGGATTTTGGCGTTGGGGGTTGAGCCTCAGGATTTTAGCCAACCTGCTACCAGTTACAAGGTTGGCAGAGGTCCCATTGATGCTGGTAAAAAGTTATGAACTGCTGGTGATGTACACAGGATGTTCTTTGCAGAGAAAAAAAACATCTCATTTCAGTTTAGCCTTGGCAAGCTACAAAGAATAGGTGTGCAGAAGAGGTCCTTGTAAAAACTGAAAGCCCATAAACTGTGGCGCAGCTTTTCTGTGGCTTTTAGTTCAAAGCTTATTGGTTGTTGAGGACATAAAATAAAAGGCTCTGCCATTTCCCTGTGCAGGTTGTATTTCTTAAGAAACAGGACCTAAACCGCAAGAAGTAGTCCATTTGTTTTAGGCTATTTTCCACCACAGACTGGTTAACATTTGGTGCAGACATTGCTTTGGCACCTCTGGGTGTCTTGTCTTCCTGGTTATAAAAACTGTCTGTCAACATTACGGGAAGCATCCCTGCAGGGTTTGACCTTTTTGTTGATTATAAGATTCATTTTTCGAACAGAAACAGCCATTAGCTACATCACACTCCTCCCTCAAAGGCGCCAGGCTCATTTGACTTTCATGTTGCTTTTTTTTTTCTTGCAGAGCACAGAAGTTACTGATCTGCCTGCCTGAATTGCTAAATTTGTTTGTGTTAATCTGTGTAGTCAGATCCAGACCAACACTTTAAACCCCAAAGTCACACAATAAAACAAGCTAAGATGGCAGGCAGAGGCCAGACATTGAGTGTTGTTCAAGGTAGAACGACTTTATTTTTGTCAGGGGAGTCTGGTGCCTCTGACAGCAGTGGCTTGATAACTGTTTCAGGTTAAAAATCCTCTTTCTGTCACAGTCCTTTTCATGATTGTTCAGACAGTTTTACAAACAATCTGGCAGCTAAAAAAAGGGCGTTTGATCAGATGCTCCTGAGGGTTTATATTGAAGCTACTGCAGGCTATTAGCTGAAGACATGCAATCAGAACAAATGCAAATCTTTTGAATCTGATTGTTATTAAGGCTCTTCCTAGAATAAATAAATATTAACAGGACTCAATTAAAGGGACACAGCAGAAGTGATCACCATGAATCATGAGGATAGTTGAAAACTAAACTAAGAAACTTCAGTTCAAGTTTTAGTTATAATAACTAATAAACATTATTATAACTAAAACTGTGATCTGTTAGTGACAGATGTGTTAAATCAGCTCTTTTCACCTACTTCTAACTTTTGCAGGATGGCATGACGTTTGTTTGCACACAACCGACTGAACAGCATTTATTCACCCTGTCTGTCTAATATCTACTAAATTACTTATATTTAAGGATTTTAGGGGGTTTGGTTTGTATTTATTATGGTCATAGTTGATCTATATTTTGTTGTTTGGTTTAAAGCTCCTGTGAGAGACTTCCTTCTGAAAGAAGTCCTATTAAAATGTATTAAGATCAAACATGTGCCAGCTGGAGCACTAAAGTCTTGTCGATAATGTGCAATTCTTCATGATACATGGTTTATGTGAGCAGCATTGTTATAGTCCATCATAATCCGTTTAATATGATCATATGTTGTCCTATTTACCATCACAATAAGGTTGATTGAAATCGGTTGGTTTTTCATAGTCCACATTAATGAACCTTCATCAGTCGTCAAGAGGAAATCTCCACGTTGATTGGCTATTGCGGCCCGAGGGGTTTGTTAAAGCTCAGAGTTTTTAACTTACAGGAATAAGCGAATGAACACTGGAATTTGCATCATCCACGTGTCATTTCCTCTGTCTTGCGTATTTGATTAACTCAGTCCCTGCTATTCACACCTCATTTGTATTACCCAACAAGAACTTGCATCTTTACATTGATTTTCCATGTAAATCACAGACACAGAGGATATTATTCGTGTCTGGTATGAACAGAATATACGCAGTACATGAGGAATCAGTAGAGCAGGTGCTGTAAAGTACAGCATGGTTTAGTGACTTTCAGCACCATGGACAGCTCTGTCGTCACCTACACATGTAGGCTGTATTTGACAGCTTGTTTCCATGGTGTCAGATTGTGGATTTCCTTTTTATTTGTGTTCGCCTCTGGCATTGATCGGGGGTTTGTGTGAAAGGGGTACTTACATCGGCATTTGTGTTTCATTGCTTTTTCAAAATAGCACTGCATTACATTTGGAGCACCTGCATAAACACATCAGCGCCTATGGCACCAATCACCTGGTCCAGCACCTCTCATCATGCAGCAGCTACAGGTTTCAAGAATAACATTGTAGAAATGATAAATCTTGTTACTGATGGTTAGTTTGAGGTTATAAAGAGCATCACTGTTAATTTCACTTTGTTTCATAGTCGGCCATAAACTTCTCATAGAAGCTTTGAGATTTGGATTGATCTGCTACTCTAAGCAGCAGCACTGACTTCTGCAGAGTCTAACTGTTTATCATCATGTTGTTTCATTTTATAGTCACTACTTCTGCCTATTACCAGAAGAATCAGTCCATAATCTTTTATATCATGCATTTTACATTAATTTTTATTTCTGTCTTTTTTGTGCCAGTTAATTTATGTTTTATAGTTTTCTTGAGCAGCTCCCTTTGAAAAAGAAATAAGTAATTAATTACCATAGCTGCAAATTCAAGTGTGGAGTGCTCTTGTTTTGCTGACATTACACTCTGCTGACTGATCTTTATATATTTATATTTTCTTTTTGAGGATTTGAGTTTAACACTTCAGTCATTTCCTCGCTCCTGTGTGCAGTCCCCCACAGAGCGGCTCATGCAGAGAATAAATAGCGCTCAGTCCTGTGTCCTCCCTCAGGGGGGACTTGACTCACACTTTCTGTGCCCAGGCAGCTGCTCCTCCACTTTATAAACCGAGAGACGGCCCACACCGCCACAGGGAGACCCCCTCTCCCCCCGACACACCAGACTGCAGTCCTCCTCAGGGGCCCGAGGGCTGCTGATCCGGTTCCCGCAGTGGCATTCAGCTCCATATTCCAGACCTGCAAACTGGTATCCGCTGAACACACACACACAGAGGAGAAGCAAAAAAGAAAGACACACACACACACAGATGGACACACAGTTAATGCCCCCGCCGAGGGCGTTAAATACCCTGAAAGGATCGCCCTCAGGCTGAGCCCTCCCACAGGACAGAAGTTAACATTTCAAACTTCTCTTTGGACTCAAACTTTCAGCTTTTCAACACAGCGAGCTTTTTCTGCTGCCGTGTTCTCCTCCCTTCTCTCTACTGACTGAGTTATTCTCTCTCAGCTGCACCACAGTCACCTCTGATCTGTACTTTACATATCAAGGCTGTTGTGACTCATCCCCCCTATTTACCCCCCTCCTCAGGACAGACACAGACCTCATCAAAATTGACCTTTTCATATATGTCCTTTGAAGCTTCCACCATAAATTGCCTTGACTTTTTACTCGTACTCATCGCAGTAATTGGCTCGCTCAGGTAACGAGCACGGCTGATGTCTGTGTGGATGGGGAAAGAAAGAGGAGGGGGGTGGGGGGCTCAGCGGGCTTAAGATGAGAGTGCTGACTCGCTCTCTCTTTGACTGCATCCATCTGTCCTCAGCTCCTCTGTTTCTGTGGGGATTCACTTTTGGAGAATATGAGAGGGAATTATTCAAACTGGTCACTTCTTCAGACGGCTTTGAAAACTTTTACCTGCCTCTTCCTGTTTTCTTGCAAGGTGGCTTTAACTCACTGATTCAGGGATATATAACTCCCCTTGAAGAAGTCCAAGACCCCCTTTCAATCAGAAATCATGTAATTCAACCATCTGTGGATCAAAAATGTTGTTGGCCAACGTTAGCTGGAGGCAAAACAAAACAAAACTGAAGGCAAACACGAATCCCCACCACAGGGTTTTAGGTGTCACAGGTGTATTGAAATGTTGTTGGGTCCCAGAATAGAAGGAATTAGAGTCCCAGTGGTTCTCCTGTCTACTATCTACCTCTAAACAAATACCAAGACAACTTTGGTTATAAGAGGAAAGGACATGGATGGAAGTACAGCACTAGGGCTGTAAAGTCTTAGTCGAATGGTCGACTTATTGGTCGATACTTGCTAAGTCAACCAAAATTCTAAATGGTGGACTCCATTTTTTCCCCCTGTCAATTTACAGTCAATGGTTAATTTAATCAGGACGAACGTACCAAGTGCTATCATATCATACCCATAACATTTTCTCTGACCTTAAACAAGAATCGATCAAAGAGAACCAGTTCTTTTGTTGCCATCTTGGCACCTATTGTAATACAGGAGCTCACGAATAGTAGTGGATCATATGTGTCCATCATGGGTCTCCTGAGGTCCACAAACCAATTAAAGGACAGGCTCTCTTTGTACAATGGGCTTGGCTGTCTCTGCCTCTATAGTTCCCTTTTTGTAGCCTCCTTGAATCAGGACTAGAAACTTCTCCATTAATCCTTTCTTGCACAAGGTCTTTCACTCCTTGCTAGCAAGATCTTTGTTTCCCTACAAACTAGAACTAATCACCCTCAATTTCCATTCTTGACCTGAACATTTCAATCTTTTTCTATCTTCTACCTGCTTTGTTGTCCTACTGGTCGGCAGGTTGCTTGTGGGAGCAGTCCCAGAATTACCATCCTGGTTTCTGTTGCCATAACAAGGGACCCCATCTTAACCCCCCCAGGTTTATTCTCCTGTCTACACCAGAAAGAGAGTGCACTGCTTTTGGGCTGCATGACGGTGGTTTAGTTGGGTCAAGAGGCAAAACCTCACCACTCATTCTGTAAAAAACAACAAGTTTCTGCATGGCTATGATTCACAGTAAACTTATTCCTCCCACACGAGATAGCTAATTGCTAACAAAGTGGAAGACTCAGTAATGCTGAACATGGAGGATAATGAGGAGGATGTGGAGGCAGCTGTAAAAAAGAGGACTCTCTGAACCACCCGCTTTGATGTTGTTTCGTAGTATAATGAACTAAAAGTAAGCCGAGCTTCTTCTCTCCTGTGTTGTCTGCCCTTGACTTTTCTTAGCTACAGCTGGCACAAAGCAGAGCAGCAACTCGCTGAAAAGTTTCCAAAAGTTAGTGCAGAGCCAAAATAAAAAATAAAAAAATGACTGCACTCACCCAACTGTTGCTCATTAGTCTTTTCAAGACTCTGTAAGGAGCTTTCTGCTTGTGTTAATTCAGTGCCCCACGTACAGTATACAAGGTGATACATCTTATCTTTCTTAGCTTTCAAATATCTTACTCACTGTGAGACTTTGCTGTGGTCGAAGTGAAGGAGAGGGTTTCTTTAAAGAGCTGTATACAGTGTTGTCTGATACATCCTCCTTCACACTGGTTATAAACATTAAAATTGACGATACATAAACTGCCTGTCTTGTTTGCTTTTGGTCACAAAGATGCATTAGTGTTCATTTCAGTCAGTTTCATGGCCAGTTAAAAAGAAAACAACAACAGGAGCTTTAAGTCCAGGATTTTTTTTTGCAAATTTCCTACCTTACTTTTTACCACCATGATACCTTGAATCATAAGGGTGACTTCCTTTCAGGGAGTGGATGCAGAAAAACAAAACATGGAGAACAAAGAGGCTAAACCATCTGCTGTATTTGGTGCTTATTCCAATCAGCTAAATCCTAATTCCTTTAAATCTCTCAATCAAAATAAAAGTATGTAAATGACAGAATCCCTTAATAGAAGTTGTCTCTCAGTCATAGTGTCTCAAAGTGCTTACTGAACTCTAAACAGAGTATGTAAAACGGAGCCTTTGCTGAAAATCCCTGATGGCAACATTGCAAGCTTTGGAAACATGTTGGTCCCCCAAAAGCACAAAAACACAGCTGATAGGGCTGAAGGTAAAAAAGCATGTTTTTAATACCCGGAATGAGTTTTTAGGTGGTTTTACTATTTGTTAGTGTCTGAGTTTATCGGTTGTGTTATCACAGCACTTGCTTTAAAATATTCAACCCCTCCATATCTGTTACCATCACAATTTCCTGGTGTCACTGCTACAGGGCCACAAGGAAGAAGCACAAATCACTCCTCTGACGAACTCGCCAACTGCTTCCTGAAGCTCATTAAGCTTTCCAACACACACACACACGCACACACACACACACACATTCCTCCTTCCTCCTCCTGCGACACATCAAGCCTTCTGTCCTGCTCCTCACCCCCCCATACCCTCATCTTTTACTGTCATCCAGCCACCTGGCCCTCTGTAGCTCCAAACACAGGAGGCCATTCATGGCAGAGACTCAGCTCCAAAGCGTTTACTCAAACAGCGGGCCCTCTGTGGTCCCTTCACAGGAGCCTGCAGCACACATTACCTTTCTGAGCAGGTGTCCTGACACAGAGAGCTGGTCATTTTGCGCAGGTCATAAAGCATCGTGCCCCCCAGGGCTCGATCAGTGGCGTTGTGCAGGAAGCAGCCCATATAGGTCCCTGTTTTAAAAACAGAAGAGAAGATGAGGCTGTAAGTGTCTTCACTATGACAAAGTGGCTTTAAAATATAGTGAACTGTGAATCATGTTGGTGAATACAGTCACATGTAAGGGTCAGTTCATATACTTTGAAATGTTGTTGCATGAGGCTCTGATGGCTCAGTGAGTCAGCTGTTTATAGATCCAGGGGTTCTGGTTATTATTAATGGCAAACCAGTTTGGTTTACTAATAATAATGATTCTTATCACATGGGTGTTAGTTTTTACTCATTTAAGGGCTGTTAAACAAATCATACCTTATGTTGCAATTAGTTTCATAATTTTAATAGTTAATCACAATTAATGAAAGAATTTATCTAATTTATAGCGATTATTCCTGTTTAAATCACAATAAAAGTTCCTTCTTTTTTTTTTTTGCATTTCAAAAGAAAAGTTTACTTTAATATTCCTAATTTTAGGCAATCAAATAGATGAAAAAAGGGTACTTCGTGATTTGATTTTAGTAGAGCTGTAAAGTCCTCGTGGACTGGTGGTCTTATTGATTGATACTGCTGAGTCGGTCAAAATTCTAAATGGTCGACTCAATTTTTTTCATCAGGAGGAACATACCAAGTGCTTATGGGGGTGTTTTCAGAGCACCCCCTTTCACAGGTAACAGGCTGTCTCAGAACATCCCCCTTGTTTTCACCATCTTGGATTCGCCCAACCCTCTGGAGACCGGCTGGTGACAGTAAGATTGAAGAACATCTGTGTTAATCAACGTCCGGTGGTTTGCTGAATATAATATTTGTGTTTAATTGCATCCTCGTGCTGATATAAGTATATTTTCACCTCGCTGAGCCGCATCATGCCCTGCCACAGAAGGGTTTGCCATCAATGTACAAACCCCCCCCTCATTAGTCGATGTTCGGTCGAAAATTTCAGGGTTTTAGTCAACCATGAATTTCTTTGGTTGATCACAGCCCTAGACTTCAGACATGCAACTGAAATAAAAGCCGCTCTGCCATACCACGGTGCTCTGACATCATGACCTAAAGTTAAGACACGGCCTTAAAATGTTTGATCTGCAGAGTCAAAGGTTTATTCTTTTATCACAGTATAAATCATTTAAGGATAACAACAAAGTGGATGTATGTCAAATGTTGAAGACACTCATAACTGTGCAGATCTGTACCTCCTGGATGTAGGGTAATAGCTCTGCCTCTGAGGCTTTGTTTACTGTCTGGCTTCCTTTTATGCATGTCTGCTATTCAACTTCTAGGTCAGAGCATGTAGTGGAAACTGTGCTGCATGGGCGGAACACTTAAACTAGTTTGGGTCTGATTGAGGTGAACATGTAAGAGATATTGATATTAAAACATAGGAACAGTGATTTATTGGGAGAGGTTTTAAAGCAACCTTCACATGGAGGGATGGTCACTCAGAAAACCAAAGTTACAGTCATCGTGTGTTGCACCAAGACTCCTCACCGTGTCACACAGCAACACGGTGAGACACACCATGAGGAAACCAGAAAAAATGTGGCCCCTGAAAAAAACACACTCCTCTGCCTGGTATTGGTATTTTCAAATGGGACGTCCCAGTGTGATAGAGAGCTTATTTTGGTAATCGGATGACTTAATCATATAGCTGTTTTTAAAATGCTCAGTGCTGTTTTCAGACATTTGCTGGTTTTCAGCCATACTTTGCCTTTTTTCAACATCACTTTCATGTTTTTAAAGCTGCTCCTTTGCCATAAAATTACACCTTCTAAAAGCACCAAAGTCCTGACAACGTTCGGTTCTTTGTTATCCATAAGACCCACCACGTACACACCCATAGCTGTCTGTAGATGGATGTAGACTCTCTTCTCTTTAACCTGATTTGGACATACACCAGACTTCATTCAGTCTGAGGTCTGGCACTATTAAAGTCTTCTCTCTGTGCCAGGGCAGCCTCTGCGTCATCACTTACTCACAGTAATTATACACACCAGGGTGCATTGTGGGCCATTATTTCCAACTAATTTATACCACGATGACTCCTAATTTATCACCCGGTACAGATTATTCTTCTTTCTGCAGTGAAGTGAGTCTATTCTGAGTAAAGATCAGCCCTGTCTAAAGACGGATGTAACACATAATGGGACTCGACAGACTGTAATAGTGTGCAGGCCAGATTAAGGCTCCATAGAAAATGTCCCCCAAATTTAGCCTTTGATGTTATCCTCATCTTTGGCACATTGAAGCATCAAAGTCTGCTCAGCTGACACATTAAAGTCTTCTTTTTAAAAATACCAGTCTGTGTGAAGAAAGGAGCATATGCACGTCTTTGTGTGCAGGGTTCATTCACATTCACCCCTCGGGTCTGAGGCTGGTATATTTTTAGTTTTTTATATGCTGGATGTTTCTAAGCATTCAGGTGGGGGTGGAGAGGTGAGTTGGCATGGTAATGAAATATATTTATCCAGATGCATGTACATTGACTCTTCACTGAGCCCTGTAATAACTTGGTCCATGTGAATTGACCACTTTCAACCTGCAGAGACCTTTTCTGTATCAGACAGCTGTCACTCCGTCGTTGTGAGCTGACACTGAAGTCTGCAAATAAATATAGAGTTTGGGCTAGACCAGCTTTTTTGTTAAGCAACTTGGGATAACACTTGTTGTAAATTGGCGCTATATTAATAAAGCTTGATTAATTTATTAAGGTTTGGAGCTGTATGAAAACAGGTAGAACGTTGTAAAATGTTAGGTTGACTCGAAACCCAGAGAGACGCAAGTTCTACGGTTGTTTTGGACTCTGATTAAATCTTGAAAACCAGTTTTTAAAGTGTCTAATCATCTCTCACAGGGCTGTTTTAGCTGGTAGAGGCCACTGTGAGAACAGCACCCTCTGGTGACAGGCTGCAGTATAGCTCATAAATCCCACCTCCTCCAGCCATCCAGGAGCTGTGGACAAACTTTAGAAATGTATTACACAGAATATATTTTTTTCTCCCCCCTGCTTGCGATGTTGACATTTAGTTATTGTAAGACTGGTTTGTGCTCAAGTCCTCTGTTTTCTGTGCAGCTCCATTTTTAAAAGTTATTAGGGGGTTCATGTTTTCTAGGATTGACACTTGATACAGACTATGAGCATACGAAGATTGAGTAGCTCACCCGGGGGATAAGCTGTTTGAGTCAAGCGTCACCACAGCGACTCTCGGTGACTCTCCCACGGAATGTGTACAACGCAATTGCGCAATGTTGGTTTCAGGAAGTGAAAAAAAAAACTGGAAATACCAAGAGCAATTCGGCTCCAATTTCCATAATGACGGAAGGCGGAACCAAGTTGTCCATAGTATTTACAATCTATGGTTTTATCACATGTGGTACCCAGTGTGAAGGACCATTGATATTAAGTTAGTGTTGTTCAATGAACACGATAAAATGAGTGTGTTCATTGAACAAAATCACATTTTGGTCAAAAGTGAACTAAGCAGCTTATTTTTCAACTCATGTTTAGTTACTCTGGAGTTTGTAAATAGTTGCTCACTTTTTGGGAGGATCCAAGAGGCATTGTGTTACTGAATGCTGTGTTACAGCAGCCAAATTCAAATGTACAGCACCTGCTGCTTCTCGCTTCTGTCATGGTCAGATGTAGTAAGCAGTGCAGATGAAACCAGCTCTGCTAAACTTTTTGAGACTGGAGAGTAATTACTGTTCAGAGTTTTTTTAAACCTTCAGCTGTTTTATTTAAGAGTATGTGAAAACCTTCTCCCCCACATTGTCAGTGACGAGGCAGTGTATTCTTCCTGTGTATGTGGGTTAAAAGTCAGAACCTTTAGCTACCTAAATTTGTGTCTTCTTTAAATAATAGTTGTTTCAATTGTTTTTTAAATCTGCAGATTTTTCCCACGTTTAATTGAAAAAAAAAACCTAAATGAAAATTTCCGTGGTTTCTAAACTGAGTAATTTTACAGTCTAGGAGGCTCTGCATACAGATAAAAGTAAGCTGCAGCTGAAACAAAATAAATACAAACTAGTTTCAGTTTTTGGACTATGAACTAACTTCAAAACAAATGAACTATAAATGTGAACAAATTCAATTTTGCTCGGTGTGAACTAAATTTTAAGCTAGCTTTAGTGTAAACTTTTACAACACTGGTCAGGGAATTATGCTTCTATTTAGCAGGATAACAATATCGACAACTTTGGTTAAATGCATCAAGACTGAATGGTGGCTGTTATCAAAAATGTTCACGTGTGCAATATGTAATTCACATTGCACATATTTTCTGTTGTTTGATCGGATGACATCGTGTTTATTGAAGGTCATTGGAACCTCTAAATCAGAAACTGAGGCGGCGTAAAGAGGAATATTGGATTTCTAGTGTTAAATCTTTTGGGCCATGGGCCAACCTTAGCCTTATTACCAAAGTAAAACAGGGGAAACGCTTTGAGGCACTATTGCCATAGTTACCAACCAGAAATATGAAAGCATATCAGTCGCTGATACATCAGTAACTAGCACATGCTTTTTTAGTCGTTCAAAAATATAACTGGAAAAGTTGACTTCATATAAATATACTGATATAAAAAATACTGATGGACACCATTCTAGAAAACAGTGATGAACACAGCAATTCAGCATATTGAAAACATGATATGCATTAGCAGCTTTCACCAAGGGACAGTTTAGTATAGAAATGTGGCGTCACCAGTTGTTGACTTTTTTTTCTCAATCATGACGGTTCTTGGCATCCTGCTCCTGTAACTTTTTTTGTCATCTGTAACCAAAATATTTTTTGGGCCTGAAAAAGTCCATGGAGAGAAAAAAAGAGGCAGATTGAAGCTCAATATCACCTGGAAGATTACCCCACCAAGCATTCGGTATAAGCTCAATAATGTTGAAAAGAAACCTCCACACCTGCAACAGGTCTGCTTCATTCTTCATGCAGATGGCAGATAGTCTGCCAATAGGCTGGTTTCACAAACACGAGTAAGGCACTCATGGAAGTTTCAAGGACGCCAAGGACTCAGCTTCTGCTTTTTAATATTTACAACCAGCATTAAAAATAAAGACTGGTGCCAGCTGGTCAAAGAAGATTAAAAGGAGTTGGAGGGGTACATGTGACAAGGATTGAAGAGAAGCGGTGGTAAGGTGCACTGACAAGATGGAAGCCAGCAATGGAGCGTGAAATCTCTGGCAGGCCGTGCATCAGCATATCGAATTCATGATTCAATCAGCGAGCGGCGTCCTCTGAAGCCCGTCCAGCCGCTTGTGTCAGGCAGAGCTGAGTCACCGAGCTTCAGGAGGAACAAACAGCAAACAGCAGCTGAAAATACGAGGACGCCGACCACGACCTGCAGCAGGAAGCATCTCAAGAGGCGCCATCAAGGTGAGCCCCTACCCCACACTTCCCCTCACCCACCCGGCATGGAGGGTCATTTCTTTAATCAAAGAGAGGGAGAGGCCTCAGGCAGCTGCAGCTCGGGGTTAATGGAGGGAAGCAGCTTGAATTCCCAGACATGATAGAAAGCAGTGCACTTAGGCCTGACGCTGTGTCGCCTTCTCAAACACTAAGACAGATGGCTGCGCTGAGCCCATTCCTCCCTGCAGGACAGGATGGAGGAGCTGAAGACACGGCGGCTGAGAACGAGGACATGTGCAGCCGCCACAGGAAGCGTGTGCACCATGTGTGTCCATTAGAGTGGGCTGAGGAGAGTTCACAGTCTCACTGCAGGGTCTGTAACATCCTCACAGATGTTAGTCTTCTTAGCTTCTTAGATACTCCAGATGTGAACTTGACATATCAAGGAGTGTGTGACTCATCCCTGAGGGGGACGGAAGTTTTCAGGAGCAGACTCAAAACCTCCCAAATCTCACTCACTTATTGTGAAACCTCTGAATAGAAATGGTTTCTCTCTGTGTAACTATCTGAAATTGAGGGGAACAGGCAGACTGTCCCACTGTTGTCTGCTGCTGAGAGTCCAGACTGAATGAAAAACAATAAGGTTTGATATAAACAGTAGGGGCTCTATTTTCGTGTCCGCCGGTGAGGCGGTGGAGGGTGGTGGACCCCGCTCAGTGGTATTTTCGTCTGGCGGAGCCCGGCGTACAGCCAGTTTGGTATTTTCATGGACTGAGGCACACCTAGATCCGCCAAGCTGGGCGTGGTGGCGTGGCAGGGGGTGTGTCGACAGAATCAGCTGCCGCAGTGACATTTTCGTGCTCGCCACCGGCGTATAAAGTGCGCTGAAAGCTCGCCGATTCAAACCTGGTCAGCTTTCAGCGCAGGCGGAGCGCAGCTGGTCTATTTTGGTAGACCGGCGGCGTATCAGCATATCGGCATACGTCACCGATGCCTCACCGGCAGGTTTCCACAGTGTCAGGCACAATCAGTGCAATAAATAAACATCAACAACTAATAATCTGAGTCAGCACATACATTTAGATCTATATCGATATATTCTGATCTATATCTGATCTGATGAGCGGGTTCGGCACGCGTTTGGACACACAACCTGACCAAATCAACACAGCTGAAACTGCATCAAATTAAACTAAATATCTGGTAAATAGACACACATGATGAAGTTAACAAGATATGTAATTTGTCTCCCTCCTTGTCTTTCTTCCCCTTTTTCTCGCGCAGCTCGACCTGGACGTGTCTCCGTGTCCTCTCTCTGTCCTGCTGCAGCTGCTGCTGCAGCGGCTAAGCAGATGATTTGTAACAGTGATCAGATGAGTTATTTACTTTAAGCCTACATACGAATATTATTATATTCAATGTTAGCCAAGTTTATTTATATGCTAACATCTATGAAAGAAAGAGCAAGGCCACGGAGCGCCATGCATCAATTACACACAGATGGTTCCGATTTTAATGCCATTTTTGGAATTTATGTTGTGATCTGTGCGCACAACCCACCTTTGTCACGTGAGATTTGAATAATTGCAACTTTATGTGAGTGTCTTTATTTGTGGAAAAGGGTGTTTGTCTTACCAGTGGGTCCAACATTACACACACCAAATCCATCTGTACTCACATGAGACGGTGTGAAGGACGTTCTCTGCAGCGTTTACAGCGACACTTGTTGAGGGGCTGCCTTCTGTCGCCATCGTGTGGCATTGTTGTTTTCAGCTATCTCTTGATCTCTTTGACTACTTCATGAAAATAGTAATACGCCTCGCCGGTGGCGTATTTAAAGGCGAGGAGAGGAGCTGATGTTATTGGTCAATACAGGTCTTGGCTGTGTTAAACCCACTCCACGCCCTCTCTCCTCCCTCGCTACGACTTACGCCTCTGGGAGGAGCTGAGTTAGGGAGGGGGGATACTTACGCCGGGCTGCGCCACTCACAAAAATACCAAATTGTGCTTGGGAACGCCTTGTCGGCGGACCTGACTTATGCCACGCCTACGGCACGTTTCCGGCAAGGCACGAAAATAGAGCCCTAGGTGTTTTAATTACAGAAGGATGGAGCCGGTTTGTGTTTAGACCTGCGGGTTATGGTGATTTTGTGGTTTCTATCTTTCTTTTAAAAATATTCTTCTATCCAAACCCTCTAAGTTAAGAGCTAACATTACAGTATGGTATGGATAACAACACTTACTATACATAACTTAAAGAAATTAAAAAAAAAAAAGTTGCATTACAACCTGCTAACAATGTGTTTCACGTAACAATACAACCTAGCACCTATTTTGTCCACAGGAGGGCACTGACAAGAATGTTATTCACCTTGGTTAAAGTCCTGTCATATCCTGACACAGCAGTTTGTGTAATATTTTTGTTAAAGTTGTGAACTCTCTTTGAGTTTAAACCTATATTATGTAAAAGCAGTGTTATCATGAGGCTGTAGTTTCTGTTAAAGTTACTGTACATCAGCTGCTTCATTTTCAGAAAACTGTTTTCTATTATACTAACTCATTTTCAGGTCTGTTTTAAGGAACTCTTCATTCTGTCCTAACGTGTGTTTCTGTCATATCTTGTGTTGTTTGGTCATTTGAGCTGCCTTCTGTTTCAAAATGTTTGTTCTTCATGTCTGTAAAACGTTAAGGTCAGCTTTACATGACCCTGGATCTTCTTTTTCTGAATGTTTATGATTATAAAACAATTCCGTTTCAAATTATGTTTTCTTTTTTCTGTAAAAAAAACATGGTTATGTCTGTTTTAAGGTACCCTTTTGTGAACAGCCTGTTTCATATCCTTGTAAAGCTGTTAGGTCTGTTCAGAATTTGTTGTCTTTTTCTGTAGGTTTGTTTTCAGAAACCTGTTATCATCTGTTTTTAAATTTGTTGCTCTTATGTAAAATAGACATTCAGGTCTGTTTAAATGGAACATTCATTGTCTTTTCTAAAAAAAAAGATTCTTTATCCAAAAGTCCAGGTCCGTTTTAGGTGCAATCCTCTCACATTTGGATGTGTTTCCTTCATGTTAAACCTAAGTTATATTTGTTCATAGATTTCATGTTTTCTCTTTTTCTGTAATTGGTTTCCATATCTCCTACTGTGTGTTTAAATCTGTTTTTAACATCCTTTTTATCTTGCATAAGTATAAATCCTTAATTTCAGACATGATAATGTGTGTTTAAAGTTACCTTCTTTTCTCTGGTTCTGGATGATTTTTTCATATCACCCTCGTTGTTTGGTCTGTGTTCATCTATTTTTAAATGTGTTTGTAAATGAAGAACAGGTGATTGGGTCTGTTTTGGGGGATCAGTTATTATCCATCTGTAATCCTTTTTTCTTCATGTTAAACATGTTTTAGGTTTGTTGTAAGTTGTTGGTTATTGTAGTCTACATTTATGTTTTCTCATTGAAAAAGTTATGGTAGATTTGTTTCTTAATGTCTTTATTCATTAATTATAATATTTAACAAACAGATAGGTCTCTTTGTGGGTTTCTCTTTTACCATACTCTGTTTAAAGACACCCATGGCAAAATCATTTAGAGTCGCTTTTATCTGGTCTTGTCAGGCTGATGTGTCTAACTTCAGTCTAACAGGATATTTTTACTAGACATTATAAATACACTTATTTGAATCGAAGTCTCTCTTTTATCACTTTCCTCTGTTTCTGGTGATTTTTCCTAAATAAGGGATTAAAATACCTTATTTCACTCCCTTTGGTGTGTGTCATTTTCTTTTGACAGCATCCTCTAAAGATCGACTAATGCCTCTGTACTGTATATTTAATATTGACCTCTAATGCTACTAAATATAATAAGAAAATAATAATATCAGCCTCTTTAATGTTGCATAATCACTTTTTCAGAGGTATTCAAGTTTTCCATATTGAAGTTTAGTGCATGATGTAATCTGTAATGCATTATGTTTATGGTGCTGAATGCTTTTGTTTGCACTAGTTTGAACGGCTATATTGCACTTTTTGTTGGTGTGAACTAAACCCCTTAATCTGGCATATAACTGGTCTGGAATGTACTCTCACCTTTTAAACAGTACATTAAAGTAAGAGCGTATCACCCCTACGTGGATTAGCCCCAAGATATCCACGTCTACACTCCTCGCTGATCAGCTGCTTGTTGTAGTCCCTCAGTCATGACTGAAGACCAGGGGTGACTGTGCCTTCCCTGCTGTGGCCCCTAAAACAGTGGGAAAAGTTGCTCCCTAACAAAAGTGTCTTTGTCCTAACACATCTTAAAACTTTTTTTTTTTGTCTTTGGCTTTTTAAGCCTCAATAAGGATTTTATGATCAGTCATGACACAGGCTAAAATTAACAGTGATTGATCCTGATGACCTTCAGAGGCTAACAGGACCATAAGTGACAGGAATGACAATATTTTGAAGCAATTTTCAACACCTGGGCAGCTGGAGGTAGGCACATGATAACACAATTTACAGCACTCTGAAGAAACAACTTTACACCTTTCCTAAAGCAGGACCACACTAGTACAGATGTATGAGGCTTATTTTTTTCCACAGGGGGCGCCAAAGCTGACACACAAACAGACAGTTCCTCACAGGAGCTTTAACCCCCTTTAACCTGTTCTTCATATTATTCATTTTACTGTTGTTGTGTGTTTTACTGGCTTTTACATGCTTTGTTTATTCTGTTGTATGTTTTTACCTTGTGTCCTTTGCTTTAATAGTTTTATGTATTTCAGTGCCTTTTTTTATTTCTGCTTTTGTAGTCCTGCTGTGCAGCACTTTGGTAAATGTTGTTGTTGGGCACGATGCGCCCTCTAAATAAGTGGATTGGATTGAGTGACCTGCAGTTTCTTGCCAGTTTTCAGGCATAGGGAGGTATTTTTCTCTGCTTTTATGAACAACTTTTTAAAACCTCATACTTACAGAGAAGTGGTGTTTATGAATTCTAGAACACAGGTGATCAATCTGAGGCTGGAGAACAGGTTCATGCATCTGACTCACACTTTTTGACTTTTCCTAAGAACAAATTTCAGAAAAATTGTCAACTGACTGATAGCAGGCGAGCAAAAGTGTATTAAAGCGTTTTTTTTTTTTTTTTTCAGTAAAATCCTCTCAAAGATTGTTATCCATTAATCTTTTTAAGCACAAATTCAAAGCTGATAAATGTGTTTTTTGTTGCTCATGTGAAGTGAAAAGATTAATGAATGGTATCAAATATCTGGGTCCTGAATTTTTTGCTCAAACTTCCCCCTGCTTTCTCCTCTTGGCCGTGTGGTGAAACAGGCAGTACTAGTTTATTTCTGTGTCCTGTGTTGTACTTTTTAAAGGAAACTTCAGCCAGATGGCTGCTGCTGAAACTCATCTCATTGCTGCCTCCAACATTTTTCATCAGTATTAGCCTACTTAGTGACTGAGCAGCTCTGTAGCGTCTGTTTAAAAGAAGGATTAGGGAGCTCTTGTAGGATGCTTTTCAGGAAGGAGCTGGAAGAACAAATGTTCCTCTGGAGGTGATTCTAGTGTATTTATCATTTCAGCAAAACGGCACAGACTCTAACAGACAGCCTTCAACATTAGACCAAATCTCCAGGGATGTTTTAACATATCGTTTTGATCTCGATAATTCATGTTCCTGAACTACTTTGGAGCCTGCCTGTCTCTTTCTGTCTGCTTTTCAGAGAATCAGTGAGCTCTGTCCCTCAACTGCGAGATGCGACGCACCCAAGCATGAAATGTCACATAAATATATAATGAACCTCCTCTAAATATTCTCAGGATGGTTACCTGATCATAAATCTACGATGAAGCCTGTTGTGAGTTTGCTATGGAAACAGAGTGTATGACCTCGGCTGCAGTGCCTCTGAGCTAAAGAGAAAAATCACAAGAGAAAATACATGTGTATATTTGCTTCTTCATATTTTATTCACCCGGAATATCATCGTCTCTGTTAACACCTAAGAGCCTGGATCCCTTTCACTGCTCTATGACAGACAACATAACCTGTCAGAGGTGAAAACTCTATAACCTACTCTGTGATAATATCTGCTTTTTGGCTAATCTGTGTGTTCAATAAGCACAGTCTGAAAAAAAAGCACTGGACTGGAATTTAGGTTTCAAGGTGGTTCTGGTTTTCAGTTAAAGTCCCAGCAGCATCAACTAAAAGCACTTCCGCAGGTTTTCACAAAACATTTCATCTGGAGACCAAGCAGCAGTGTCTGTAGTTAGGGTTTATGTAAAAACCTGCAGTACCTTGTGTGTCCACTAGAGGGTGGCTCCAAAAGTCCCCCAATCCCCCATTGAAACCCATTTTAAAAATTCACTTTTACAGACTTTCTTTTGTGTGATACCATCCTTCATCTTTTATCTCTTTTACCTCTATGTTATTCCAGCTTTACTGTCTTTCTAGCTTTTATTATTCTTACAGACTTTTCCTAATTAACCTTTTAGGCCTTTTATTTACTTTGAAACTTTTTTCAACTTTTACACCTTCTAGGCGGAATCAAATACTCCTGAAATTTGGCAAGTGGGTTGGGCCTGGCTAAATTTGAGTATTTTGCCATGCCCTTATATACATTAAAAAAATGACTCGCTAGCGCACCCTACAGTTTTCATGCTCACAGAGTTTCCTGTTTAACTCCCCATACACTGGTTCGACCTCCACCAGATTTTGATCGTTTGATAACGGTCCAGCACCGGACAATTTGATCAAACTTTTGTCCGTATGTTGTAGCACCACTTGGTGGCAGAGGGGAATGCGTTTTTTGGTTAATGGCCTGTAACTCCTTCTTCATTGATGGTATGCAGCTGAGATTTGTTCAGGACATACCTGATGGGGTATCAGATAGGATTGAGAATCAGCACCTTGTTTCATTAAACTGCATCTAGGTGGCGCGATGAAATTTCCCCAAAAGAAATAGCGATCTGTGATATTGCTAAAGATATGCGTGTGAAATCTGGTACACAGATCAGGAGGGGTGTCATCTTGAGGGCTCCAATGTCAAAATAGAGATCCAACCAAAAATGGCTACATAGCGCCCCCTAAAAAATTCAAAATGTAAGCCTTGCTTTTGTGTGTGACCCAAACCTTTGTAATCAATGACACATATGTTGGACCCCAGGACGAAAAAAAGGGGAGGCGGTCCACAGAGGTGGTGGTGTGACACAGCTCGGGCCCATTGGTGCCCCGTGGGGTGCTAGTTATTATTATTATTATTATTACTATTGTTTTAAACTGCTCATGTTTACAACAGCTTCAAATAAAATAACAAGGCGTTGACTGATATTGGATTTTCAGGGCCAACACTGAAACTGTTTATAAGTAGTTAGTGAGACTAATCAATGATATTTTGAACTGATACACATGAAAGGGGCATCCAATCTAAACTCTGGCCACTTAATATCACTAAATATACCTTTGGGTTAAGAGTTTGGTACTACTCTGTCTGACTGAAGGTGCCGCTAAGTTGACAAAAATATAATTTTGTCTGATAACTAACAAATCTGTATTTCATATCAAGATGATTAAGATAATGTGTATAAGTAAACGAAGTGATGCAGACAAAGAGTCTACAATGTTTTCAGACAAAAGCTGATGCATTTTAAGACCAGTTTTTTTATGAAAAGGGAGGAAAATCTCTTCTGCAGGTGTACCTGGTCAGTTCATAATCGATTTAATTGTATAAGTTGTCATGACCAGACTGTCATGGTACATGAGTTTTGACAGTATTTTAGAAAAGCAAACAAGAAGAAGCTCATCAAATTGTAATTAAAGCACAACTTAACAGCTGAACAGATGGACTGTATAAATAATGCATGTAGTCACTGTGATATCCCCCACTGATTTGTCCACTACTCTTACCAAGCCACGCATTTGTTATTTTGGCAGCAAGTAGACAGAGGAAGAGAGGAGCAGGTTAGCAACAATGACAGATTATCAGTGCTAACCAGTCTGTGCCTGCGGCTCAGTTATGAGCTTATTTACCATAAAGTTTCCCACAGAATATGTTTAAACTTGTGTGGACTGCTGACTGAGGTTATTTGGAATGCGGTTATCTCTACAGTGAAAAGCTGATGTAACAGCCTTAAACTAGAAAACAAGAAAGGTGCATGAGTTTAAGTATTTAAACAGGAGTAATTAAACAGGAAAATACTTTTTTTTTTTTAAAGAAAAGGCCCCTCCAGGTGTTGTTCAGGAAAAAGACCTTGGGGGACATTGAGAAAAACTGTGAAATGTGGTGAATAAAGTCATAAATGACCATAATAAAGTCACAATTTTATGAGAATAAAAGAGAAAAAAGTCATCAGTTTATAAGAAAATTATAAATTTACATGAACTATGTTTAACATTTAGAGAACAAACTCTCAATTTGCATGACAAGTCACTGATTACAGAAAAAAGTAAATTAATAAAGATAGTATGGAAGCACATTGCATTCACTGGATGAAAAACGAAATTAGACATCTGAGCTTGTAATTATAAAATAAGTTTTTTTTTTTTTTTATGTTGTTGTTTGTTTGTTTTTTCATCCAGTGAATGCAATGCACTTCCGTTGAATGGATACCAATATTTATAAGGATAATGTCCTGAGGGAAGAAGTCAGGAATCAAGTTGCAGTTTTCCAAAATAAATTTCTACACCACAATTTAAAGTTATTTCTTTATGAAAAGTACATAAGTTTAGAAGAATACAAATGCAAATAAAGATGTAAATATCATGGATTGTAAATGTATGAAAAAATAGGTTATTTAGGAGACATTTAAGATATACAAACATTTAAGAGAATCATTTCTCAAATGTTGTCATTACTTTGTTAGAATAAAGCCATAACCTTATGCGGAAAAGCTTTAATTTTATGAGAAAGAAGTCATGAAAAAAGCCTACAATTAAAATAACTATAGCAGGTAGAAAACTGTCAGAAGAGCAGCCAGTTGCTGCACTAAAGTGAGGAATGTGAATCATCTAGAGGACTTGAGCTCAACAGCTGAGGACAACTAGAGTTGTTGAAGCGCCCAAGCTGCTACAATCAGCTTTGTAAAAAAAAGAGGTTTTGTTCATAGCTTTAAATTCATCTATACTGCCAGCGTGACATTCCCAAACGGTGCCTCACTGACTCACTTTGAACCAGCCCCCTTGTGGTCGCAGGTGAAACTACACTTTTTGGCTCATTGCAGTTGTGTTGACTCATGTTTCAGCCACTGCTTGATCTCAAAAGATTTAATACACCCTGATCACCCTGCTGCAGTATGTGAGGAAAAATCGGACTTCAGTATTTGTGTAACACTCGTCAGCTGGATGAAAACTGTTCAGCTGACTATCACTGTCATGTCCTTAAAGCTTCACTCAGACGAGGCAAGCTGTGACTGAGTGTCACATGTTTACATAAACACCAGGTGTTTGGTTCTTTTAACTGTTAGGTAGAAATAAATGGGAACTTTTAAGTTCTTTTTTTTTTCATACTTGCTGGAAGAAGCGCAACCAGCATATGCTGCAACAGACAGCTTGTAATGGCTCAGCCAGTCAGTTTAGTCCATTTATCTAATTTGTGTCGTGCCAGTTTATTACAAATATTACCCCAAGACAATGGGTGTGTTGGTTGTCAATAGCATTGACAACAACCTCACTTTACTCCTCCTCCTTAGACTCTCTGCACCAGTTTTGAGACACTGGTCATGTTTTGGAGGAGCAGCTGTTACTCTTTTTTTCAACTTGGATGTTGTGATGGGTACAACAGGTCAATGGGCTGAACCATTAAGACAAACTCATAATTTAAAATAAAATGTTCATGGATCAACAGAACTCCAATGCTACACTTCATGAGTTAAAACATGAGGATGAGCTTCAGTTAGACAGATAACAGTTTGCATAAAAGGAAAAATTGTTCTGTCAGTTTTTTCAGCTCTAATACATAATTTTGAGCGAGAAAAAATCAGTGAACATGAGCTGATTCCTCGCAGAGAACAGTCATCCACATCCCTCCCTTTCCTTAAATCTCTCAATCAGCAACTGCACTCCTGAGCTGAACTGGGACTACACAATCTTGTTGTCCGTCACAATGATCACTCTGACACATTTGATGATCACAGAGCCATAAATTTGGCTAACCCAGGTTACCTTTATTTACTTTCTTACTTTTAACTTACTATTTTTACCTTTCAAAGTCACAAAGGCTCATGATTATCTATGTATATTGTAGCTGTCATTCACATATAGGGCTCTATTTTCATGCCTCGCCAGAGACATGCCGCAGGCGAGGCGTAAGTCAGGTCCACCGCGCCGACAAGGCGTTCCCGAGCACAATTTAGTATTTTGGTGAATGGCACAGCCCGGCGTAAGTATCCCCCCTCCCTAACTCAGCTTCTCCCAGCAGCGTAAGTCGTAGCGAGGGAGGAGAGAGGGCGTGCAGTGGGTTTAACGCAGCCGAGACCTGTATTGACCAATAAAATCAGCTCCTCTCCTCGCCTTTAAATCCGCCACCGGCGAGGAGTATTACTATTTTCGTGAAGTTGTCAAAGAGATCAAGAGATGTCTGAAGACAGTAACGCCACACGATGGCGACAGAAGGCAGCCCCTCAACAAGTGTCACAGTAAGCGCTGTGACACTTGTTGCTCTCATGAGAGCACGAAAATGTCACTGCGCCCGCTGATTCTGTCGACACCTCCCTCTGCCACGCCACCACGCCCAGCTTGGCGGGTCTCCATGCGCCTCAGTCCACGAAAATACCAAACTGGCTTCACGCTGGGCTCCGCCAGACAAAAATACCACTGCGCGGGGTCCGCAACCCTTTGCCACCTCAGTGGCGGACACGAAAATAGAGCCCATAAACTGTAAATAAATATACAAATGACGCACCAAACGGAATATAAATTTTGGATGCAGACAGGAACCGGCGCCTTGCTTCTACTGGATCAGACTATATCTGTGCTTAAACTATGTAGTCTGACCCTGGCATTTGTGTGGGGCACTACTTCAGTGTTACTGATCCCTAATCTGAATATTACGTCAGGTTCATACTAATTCTTGATACTGACTCCTTATTTTTTTTCTTTTGTTTCTTTTTTTTTTTTTTTTTTTTTTTTTTGAGAAACAAAATAGGAGGAAATATTAACAATTCTTAGCCTGACTTAAGGCTCCAGTAAGGAACTTTGACTATTTCGACTTTGGTGCCCCCTGTGGTCAAAACTATCTTTACTTATCTTGTCCTTTACTTAAGAAGTGACTTTTGACAAAGAAAATCATCCTGCTAATTTTTTTAATCATCAAATGTATCATTTCGTTTGGATATTTTATACAGACTATGTAAAAACAGGGCTGTTTTTATCTGCTCAGCTAACACCTACCCCATCATACTGATTAATTCCTTTAAAGATTAGAATATAAAATCATCAGTCTTATTGCTGATGGTCTTGTTTGCCTTTAGCGATCATGAAAAGGCATCAGTATGAACTTCTATTTTATCAACATAAAAAAACTCCTTACAAGGGCTTTAATCTTTGAAACATTTAGTCCCTCATAGATGAACTGTTAACCGTGACAAGGTTTTTTTTCTTCTTGTGAAAATAAATATTCTTTCTTAAAGCATGTATCAGAAGTTTTGACATTTATGAAAACTGACATTTATAAGACCATCAGGGACCAGATTTTTTAATGCCGTTTTTAATGCCTACAATTGGGGCTGGGCAATATGGGAAAAAGTTTATCACAATACATTTATTTCATATCAGTCGATATCGATATATATCACGCTATAAAAAAATGAAATTTAACAGTGCTTATTGATAGCAGGTCATTTGCAATACAATAAACTACTGCATCTGTGAGGTCTTTGTTTCTCTTTGACTTTTTGTTATCAGGCGTTGTGCTAGAGAAAGCGGACTGAATGGTCGGCTGTTTTGGCTGCACAGGCGCCATGGGCTCCTTAGTCCGCTCGGGGTTTGTAACCTTTTACATTGCACGTGCCCTGCTGCATGGCAATGCTTTAGGTGGTGAAAATGATTCGAGGTATTCCCCCGACTTTGCGAGAACATGTACTCATTACTGACCTGACATTACTTACTGACATTACTGACCTCAAAAAACCAAAATACCTCCACACCATCAATGTTTTTGTGCCAGTGTAGTCAACGATGTCATCATCTGTTGAGTTGTCATCTGCACTTCTGCGGGGGGTAGCACTCATTTTTTTTTTTTTTAAGACAGTGCTGTCAGCTTCACGTGTTAAAGTGCTACAGTTTGCTTGTAGCTACAGCCTGCGACTACACAGTCGTTTGCTACTTGGTTCTAATTTAGCACATGATTGGTTCAGCATGAAGTAGACCCAGAGCAACTCCCCTTTTCATTGGCTATTCATATAGTCTACCAAAACATGGTAGAATGCCGACTATCGAAAAGGATATTGACTATGTTTTATATTGATATTGAGGGAAATTAATTTTCGATATATATCGTTATCGTTTTATCGCCCAGCCCTACCTACAATCAGTGTGAGGGGTTATGTGTCAGCTGAACAGGAAACAGCTCTGTTTCCACACTGTCTGGGTAAAATATTCACAATGACACATTTGACTGTCAAAAGCCAGAACAGGGAGATTTTTTTGGACAAAAGTCAAAATCAAAGCACATAGAGGACAAGATAGCAAAGACTGTTTTCTCCATATGGGATGCAAAAATGGGCACAAATTGAAAATTCATTACTGGAGCTTTAAAAGGATGAATCATAATTTAAAAAAATATATATCACAAACCAAAGCAAAAGTATCTTATATATGACTGAAAATAGAACAAAAGCTCATCCGAATGGAACAAATGAACATAAAAAACAGGCTGTTTTGTTTTTTGCAGCACAGACCTGGAAAAATCTCCCAGATGATGTTAGACTGGCCCCAACTCTGACTGCTTCGCAAACTTCACTACTTTAAAGAGAGCAGTTCAAGCTGATAAAATACTCTTTTACTCCACTCTCTAAAGTTTGCAAACTCCTTTTTGAATTGCAAAATTCTTGCGGACTGTAAACTTCTCTCCAATCCTGAAAGATTAATAGGAACTAACAAAACTCTGGAGGCAAAACTCTCCAAAATTTAGAGCCTTGCTACTTGAACCCTCTAGAATTAAAACACATAATTTAGAGAAGCATTCTGTTTATAAATATGACTTAAAGCACATCTTGATGACACTACTCCCCTCTTCCTCAGAAGTTCCTGACCTGGACATTAAGAGAAAACAGAGCCACCTCTACGTGTAGACAAAGCTAACTCCTCCACCCGACTGTGTCGTTTTATTTACCGAATGTGTCTTCATAAATATCTGAGTAGTCTGGCGTGTTATTTACCTTTATGTTTGCTGTTCTTGTGGAGAGAGACTTTCTGCTCTGGACTCTCTGGCAGCAGATTGTGAAACCAGCGGCGATGCAAGTGTTGGACCCCCAGGCTTTGGGACGAGGGCCAGTGTCTCGCTGCTTTGGCTCCCCCTCCATAAACAGGCTGAACGGCCCATCTGGAGCGCGCCCTGACGCCCAGACCTGCAGTCCTGAGGGCGGTTGGAGGCGCTGCAAGGGAGAACAGCGGCGGCAGACTGGCGAGGTTCTGCTGGGCGACTCTGACACTGGAACGCTGCAGGAGCAGGATGCTGCCCGCCATCAGGTAGGCGATGCCCAGACAGAGCAGCAGCATGTGAGCCCGCTTCAGGAGGCAGTGCAGTCTGCAGAAGGGCGCTGCCATCCTGCTTCCTGTATCTCACCTCAGAGGAGAGCCATCTCATGGACCAGAGGGGAGGAGATCTATAACCCACTTACGACTTCATAATCTGGGAAAGACCTGCAGCATCTGCAGCCGTGTTGACACAGTGCCTCAGTTCTTCATCAGCAGCAGCAGAGGAACAATGGATGTGTCACCACAGAGAGGGTTTAATATCCAAGGCTGTGGTCACTGAATCCAGGACGACCCTCAGGGAAAAGCTGGAAACAGAGAGAAAACACAAGCAGCTGGATTTAAAGCACAAGTGTGTATGTGTGTGCATGATCAAAGGCAAGTGTATGCCTGGAGGATTAGATGCACAGCTCATGTTGACATATGGGCTTGTGTTTCTTTCTTACAGCATCTTGCAACACATCCCTCCGGTGTCTGCTGCTGCGCTGCTTTCACTCCTGCCGTTTGTTTTTAATTCAAAACCCTGCCTCAAGTCCTGTTCGGCTGCTCCGGTTTCCTCTGTGTGCTCTCCTGTCACATTAATCCGGTTTATAAAAAAAGGGGAGAAACGACTCAATGACACCAAACCCCTCTGCTTTAAATTGGATTCTCTCTCAATGCATTCAATCCCTGCACTGTCAGATTATATTTATTTTTACACCGGAGATCTCTCCCTGCTTCAATATCTTAATCTGAGTTTCTGCAGTGAAACGACATCATGTGATTAAAAAACTGTCTGATACGAGCATTAGGGAGTTTATGAAATGAGGATTATCAAAGCAGAATGCAGGAAGGCTTTGACCTTAGATGAAACAGTGAGGAGTTGAAAGAAAAAGCTTGGGCGGTGCGGTTAATGGAGTTTCAATTTTAATGACAATTTCAGCTTCCTGATCATGAGAATAATCAAGATTAAACGATGACTGTTGTGCTCGTTTTATCCTTTTGTTGTGAATGTCGTCCACCTCCTTAAACCACAGCAGAGTATGTGCTCTGCTTCTGCTCAACATGTATCAAGAGGAAAAAGAGGGACTGGTGATCTGGCACACAGGCAATTTTCCTGGTGGATAGACAAACCTAGGAGTCAGTGGGCTGTAGTACTTCACCATTTGGAGTTCAGATCAAAGTGCAACAAGTCTGGGAGTGCAAAGATGTGGAAGTCGTGAAATATGCAACACTATGTTTACATGTTACTGAATTTGTCTGATGGAAACCAGACTTTTAAATTGCACTAAATTGAATTTCTTGGGGTTTGACTGTCTAACATACTAAAATAGGGTGGTCAGGGAAAAGATTCCTGCTGCACTTACACACCTCAATCAAACTCAAGCTGGTCTAAGCACTCTGCACATGCTCCGTAGTTGGGCAGTGACACTGAAGTTAAAACAGCATAAATGTGTTGTAGGAAGCCAGGTGGTAAACAAAACCTTGGCAAAAACATAAAGAGAAGTAAAAAAAAAAAAATAACACAGCCGTTATTTTATACATACCAAAGATACGGAGCTGTGAAGTTGTATTTGTTTATATCCTTGGACATACAACCTGTTAGCTTCTTGCTAATGTGTTTGTTGATTGGTTTGGTGCATAAAGCAGTCCATCAATCAGAAGACAGCTGAATAGTAAGAAGCCAAGAGGGGACATGTCGTCAACAAAGCAGAGCGTTAAGTTTGTCATTAAATCAATTCTCACCTGATGCTTATGATCTTAAATTGCCTTATCTCACAATAACCATAGTTCCATTAAATGAGTTTGGGCACGTACAGAGAGAGAGTTTCATTGGCCCTTTTCAGCAATTTTTTTGTTTGGTTTTGTTTTGTTTCTGTTCAGTGTTTCAACAAATGTACACAATGCAGATGTCAAATCAATCAGTAAATGAGTTTTATAATCAGTCAAAATAATCCTGATTGTGACCTGCCACACTGAGCTGCCCCCAGAAAGGCAACAGCGAGATGTTCGAGATGTCTAATTGATGAGGTCGTAAAAGTGCTGTCAATGTTTTCTAGTCACTTTAAAGACAGGGGCAGAGCACTGACCCACTGCTGTCTGTTTGTTCCGTCACCAATGTCTCTTTTTTGCCTCAGCTGATCTCACTTGCAGCCTGAAGAGGTTTCCATGCAACACCGGCTCTGTTTGCACACCTCAGACCCTGCACATCCATTGATATCCATTAAAGCCCAGTTGTCTCGGTGGCCGTCACACACCGTCATGCCCTTCAGCTCTACTTTTCATCTCAGGCCTTTCCTCTGAAGGGCTGTGCACCCCCCCTTCCTCAGTAAAAAGTAGGGGTGCGGTGGTGCTCCCGAGGATGGAAGCAACAGTTTGCACAATGAGCACTCTTTCTGATCAAGTCCGAGTGCACAAGTTCAGCTCTGCTCCGCGTTTTTACGCATAAAATCGCGCAAAATGCTGCAGAAACATTCACCACTGTATGTTTTCCAGCTGCGGGATAAGTGTGAGACTAAAAACAGATTAATAAACAGCGAGAGTAAACACGGAGCATCTATTTGAGAACCCAGAGGTCTTCCATCTTAAAAAAACCCTCCACCATTTACAGTACAGGATGTTGAAGCACGCGGCTTACCTTCAGCAGAGGGCTGTCGCGCGCTGCATCCCTGCACCGTGCGGTCCGGTTGATGCCGTTTCCAGCGCTGTTTTTCCGGCTCTGAAGGTCTCCTCGGCTCGGCTTGGGCTCCAGCATTTCCCAGAGCTGCTGTTATATAAGCTGGCTCTGTGTGTGTGTGTGTCTCTTTCAGCCTGCCTGTGCTGGTCTCCGTCGCTCTCTGGAAGGCTGGTACGGCGATAGAAGGCACAGTCAGGATCAATGCGAGTGTGTGTTGCTCGAGAGAGAGAGAGAGAGAGAGAGAGAGAGAGAGAGAGAGAGAGAGAGAGAGAGAGAGAGAGGTTGATGGGGAGGTGGTGAAGAAAGAGGAGGAGGGGGAGGGGGAAGAGGGGTAGTCAGTCTCATTTGCATTGGTGATCCGAACGCGTCACAGTTCCTTCCCTGTGTGCTGTCCAGTGGTCCACAGCTCGCACTGCATCTGAGAAAGAGCCGTTTACCGTCTCATATCCTCTGACACTGAGCAGCAGACACACCGTGTCCACGATCAACATGCATTCTGCGTAAATGGACCCTGATTTTGTTATGAATTACTTGAGAAATGCCCGAGAAGCATGCTCTCTGCAGCTGACTGACTCTAAGTATAGAAGGGGAAAAACTGCATACTGTACATCATCACTCAGACATTTGAAGGACACGTTTCCTTTGTGAGCATTTGCATATAAAAAGCCTGTGTTTCACCAATTCTCATGACACCAGGAACAAGCAACAAAAAAGACATTCACTCTGCAGAGGTTTCTCTGAGGGTCTGCTTGATGCTCTCAGTTTGGAGATGTAAAACCACAACATTTCTTCCCTTGACTATAATTTATTGTCCTCATTTGAGCGTGTTCGCTTGGTTTCATCCCAGCACGTTGCACTGCATTTGAAGCACTAAATCAATAGACTTTGCCATGAGTCATGAATGATGCATCAGTCATCCGTGCCTCACCGTGTTGACGTCCCTGCACGAGTTTCAGCACCACGAACAGCGTCTCGTCCGCGCGCTGCAGCGTGAACAACAGAAATTAACAGCGCGTATAAAGCGCTCTGTCATGCCTGATTGACCTTCAGACTGCGAACCCTCCGCATATACTGAGAACGGCCTGGAAATGGGAGCGAAAATATGCATCTTCACAGATTTTTTTAGTGGAGTGTGGAGTCTAAAAAATTAATCTGCTCTGAAGTTTTTATCTGAAAAATACATCAGAGGAAATCCAAGAGTTCTTTAAAAGAAGAACTTTACATTTCTCAGCTGCAAATTATTAGGTTTTAAAAAAGGCACTCTTAGCAAGGGGGAGAAAGATAGTTAATCATCTAATGATAATATACACTGTGTCTTTCTCACTTTGCCCTTTTAGGAGTGAGTACAAAATAAAACAACAAAGATCTAAAGTCTGACCCCTGAGGAACCCCAGAGAAAACCAGTTTTGAATAGATTTTTAAAAAAGCTCAGAGTGAAGTAGTCTTATTTTGTTGGGGAGATAATGGGATGAATACAGACTAAATCACTAGATGTGGAGTCTATTTGATAAGACAGACATCTGCAGTATTATTGCAAGATAAGAGGGATGCTTTATTTGAATTTCTGCTTCTTCAATTTCAAAAACGTTGGAACCAAGAATAGAGTTTGATTGTTTGCGAATCATTTAAAGCCTGTATTTAACTAAAAACAATGCAAAGACAACATATCAAATGTTCAAACTGAGAAATTGTATTGATTAATTAAAAAAGGCTTTTTTCATATTTGATGCTGCCAGTTTGTCTCATTACAGTTGGGACTTGTTGAACAAAACACTGGAAAAAAGTAATACCCAAACAAAAAAACTCTGGTGGAGCGATTTCAACCCAAAACATGATCTTTTTAAAGGTTAGTGAGATTACTGAAAGATGTTGAGTCTTTATGATGTAAAGATGGGAAGAGGTTTACCGTTTTGTGAGAGACTGTGTGAGCAAGAAGTATGAGTTCTGAGTAACATCCCTTAGTGTCAAATCATCATCTACAGTACATAATAATATAAAAAGACCAGAAAATTTAAAAGAATCTCTGTACAAAAGGAACAAGAATGAGAATTAGATGGAAATCAATACTGGAGTGTCATGATCTTAGCGCCTTCTGCACTAAAACAGACACGACTCTGTAGTCAAAATCATTGTATGGCCTGCATACATTCACAAAGATTAAAACTGTTCCAAAAAAAGAAGAAAGCAAAAATAAACAAGATGGACCAAGATGGACTGAAATGAAGTGGAAATTCGTCCATTTGTCTGAAAAATTGAAATGTGTCATTCTTTTTGGAAATTGCAGACACTGCATCCTCTGTTAAATAAAATATGTATATATTCGTATAAGGGACCACCAGCTTGTTATCGACACACTGTTCCAGACAGTATTAATGATGGTGTAGTAATGCATAACCACCGTGGGCAGCATCATTAATGCTGAAACATTCAAACAAACTTTGGAGCAACATATGTCACCATCAACACAGAGAGTCTTTTTCACTCCCAGAACTCTAGAGACTGGTCTCCTCAGTAACGGAATGATGACAGTGTTGTTAAAAAAAGAGATGACGCAACACAACGGTAAAAATGCCCCTGCCCTGACTGTTTTTAGACGTGTTGCTAAGCATCACATTTTAAAAAATGAGCGTATATTTTTCATCAACAATATCATTTTTCTGCTTTAATATTTGATATGTTGTTTATGCACTACTTTGTATTAGATAGAGGGCTTTCGTAGTTTGCAAACCATCAATGTTATGTTTCTATTGACATTGCAGCCCAGTTATCTTAAAAGAGTAATTGTATTGATAAAGCTTTTATTGGTTTATTTTGCTGGTGTGGTTAAATAGAAAGCCTCGCTCCAACAAAGCACCCACACAGTTCGTACAAAAAAATTATCCACCTCTTTGTATACATTTTTACAACCAGAACTGAAGCTGGGTTACAGGTTGTCTTTTACCAACAGGCTCTTGTTCAGTCTGCTGTAAGAAATCCATATAGAGGGAAACCATTCATGGGGTTTTCTGCTTATTATTGTCAGTTTTGGTTGTTATGTTGTATTATATTTTTTTCTATAGAGACATTCATGGATGGTAACACTTGTTATTTTTCACCACTTATGGCAGCAGCTTTTTTATTTCATGGATCACTTATTCTTCTCCGCGTCTACAGTACAAGTAATCCACTTATCTCATAGCCAAAGTGTGCTGCCTCCTTGACATCCACCAGCTCCAATTATTTGATGGCAGACAGGAGGGCAATTATATTTGATTTGTTAGCATGGAAAGCAGAAATATAACAAAAGCTAGCTGAAAATAAGAGGTGGCATATTCCTAGCAGTGCATTTCTGTCCTCCTATGCAAACAAACAGGTGAAACTCATCAGTGATGACCAGCAGAGGTATTTGTTTCTCTTTCACAGCGGATCAAGTTCAGTGGATTTGTGTATCAGGACTTTTTAAAAGCTGTATCATACGTTCTTCCTCTTCACAAGATTAGATAAGTGTAACTCTCTCCCTGAAAAACAACAGGAAGCCTCCAGAACATCGCAGCCAGACTCTTCACAAGCACTTCATCACTTAATTGGCTCCCAGTGCAATACAGAATCAGCTTCAAAAATCTATTTATAGTCTTCAGAGCCAGTCATGGTTTGGCTACCAGGTAAAATCCTGCCTCTCTGATGACAGTACTGCCACATCTCTCAGGTCAGAAAGTGGCACTGAACAAGCTGATCCCAGAGCTATTTCCAGGGTTGGTCGAGAAATACAGTTTAGATTGATATAGACACAGTTCAGCCCTCATTTTCTCAATAAAAAGTCACTATTAGCCGATAACTATTTTATAATATAATATAATGATGCTTGTTTTATCTCTTTAAACCTATAAACACTACAGTCCTTTTCTTTTGATATTAGACTCTGCTTTGTTCAAGGCTGCCAGATTGAAAAAACTCAGGTAATCAGGCCAACTGCTGTCAACATACCTTTATGACTGAACAGCCACTGGAAAAGAAAAGATCAATTTACATCTCCAGAGGGACAGAGGGCTAAACTTCAAAGTAAAACAGCATAGAAATATACAGGAAAGTGTATAGTGAACAGGTAGTGAACCAAGTTACACGCTGACAGGATGAGAAAGACCCCTCTGTGTGTTGTTTACTGTTGTTAACAATTGTCAGCTGTCATTGGCTGTTGTCAGTTGTTGTTAGTGGTTAACAGCTGTTGTTAGTTGTTGTTAGCTATACCAGTTATAAACAATGCATAACACAGTATTTTACTCTTACAAACACCATAGCACCATGTTCACAGTTAGACGTTGGGCAGTACAACATATGCCACTAATTGAATTTCACAAAAACAAAACAGAAGTGCCAATAAATAATACATTATGAGAGCTTTCACTGTTACTCTTGACTGTTGATGCACTGCACGGCTATCTTGGATTATAATGTTGTCGTCAAGTCAGGGTTGGTGAGGATCATCCAACTTTCTGAGTTGGAAATCCCGACTTCCGAGTACAACTGGAAGGCAGCATTATTCCCAGCTACCAACTAAAGCTTTAAAACATGACTCAAAGGTGAATTTAATTATTTCATAATGATACAGGAAGTATGTCTGATCAAGCAGCGATGTCACATGAGCTGCATTTGGAAAGTTAGAGAGCTTAATCAGCTGTTATGCCACACTTTGGAGTAGCCAGTAAAATCTGCAAAAAGGTTTTATGCCTTTGATGGCATTGTGGGGATTTACTGTTTCTAATCTTTGTCTGGAGATGATTATCATTGGATTAGGATTTTTTAGTTGTAATACAGAGGAGGATTATGGCCTCTTTAATGATAAGTAAATATTAAGGAGTCAGAACTCTGACTTTAAGATCGCCCTTAAAGACTCTCTCTAAGAGACAATCCTGGGAGTGAAATGATGCACTCTGAGCTCTTAGATATGATGATACCTAACTATTAACAGCTCTTTAGGTCAGAAGTCAGATTTTGTATTCCAACCTTGATTTGATTGGATGTGATTCAACACTAATAGAAGCTCTTCATTGATCATTCATTGTTACTTTCTTTTTCTTTTTGGTGAGCAGTTGGTGTTTGTGATCAATCAGTGAGCAGTAATATCCTCACAATCTGCCAGCTTCCTCATGTTGATATGATTAACGACCTCTAACAAAGGAATATTTAACACCATGAGAGGATTTGTGTTTTGGCATTCAGAGTCTGATGCTAAAACCTTGGCACAGAACTTTCAAAAGTCTGAATCATGATCTCACCATAATACGTGTGTGGTAACTCGACTAAATTGATCCGTGTTGACACATCACTGGGTGGATTTATTTCCCAAAAGTGTTTTGGAGACAATTTTCTCCTGAAAAGCACCAATAAGTGACTCATTTTGTCATTTTAATTTGGAGTTGTTGGCTATCTGAGAACTGAA